ACTGTCATGCCACCAACATGCAGAGTCCAGAGGAGCCCAGTCAGCTCACATTCACATGGGACTGCCATCAAATCACTCACAATCTGTCATGCCACCAACATGTGGAGTCCAGGGGAGCCCAATCAGCTCATATCCACATGGGCCTGCCATCAAATCACTCACCTCCTGTCATGCCACCAACATGCAGAGTCCAGAGGAGCCCAGTCAGCTCACATTCACATGGGCCTACCATCAAATCATTCACTTGCTGTCACACCACCAATGTGCAGAGTCCAGGGGAGCCCAGTCAGCTCACATCCACATGGGCCTACCATCAAATCACTCACACTCTGTCATGCCACCAACATGCAGAGTACAAGGGAGACCAGTCAGCTCACATCCACATGGGCCTGTCATCAAATCACTCACTTGCTGTAATGCCACCAATATGCAGAGTCCAGGGGAGCCCAGTCAGCTCACATCCACATGGGCCTGTCATCAAATGACCCACCAACTGTCATGCCACCAACATAAAGGGTGTAGGTGACCTCAGTTAGTATATACATACAGTAACTAACCCTGCCATGCACTCACATCCTGCCATGTAGAGCACACCAGTCACCACACCCCATAGTGCCAAGGAATGATGCAACAGATATTCTGTCATCAGGAATCTTGTTACCACATGTACACTATCCTGCAACACTCACATTAGTATTTGGAAACCAGGTCAGCAATTCCTCCACCAGATCTTTTCTAGCAATCTGAAGCCTGTCCTTGAGACTTAACTCCATCTTTGGTCTCAGTGCCCTTTGTGGTATATCAGCATCCATCATATGATTAAGCTCCTCCTTACCTTCACACTGCATATTCAACACAAAGTGCAATACTTGATTGCTGTGTTGATACTAACAACCTCTGCAACCCTTCCTCATTCAGGGCATTGGCTGTATATTCCATCAATTTTACACAGTCTGTTGTCTCTGCATGCATCTCTGCCACCAGTATTTCAGCATGCAGCCCAACCAGCTCTGAAGGAACCCATACTTACTCTTCACTGGCACACATCCTTTGGGTGGAAATTTGCATTTATCCAACATTCCTTTCACATGTGCAAGCCACCTCTCCAGCAATTCCCTTTCCTTCTCTACAGCCTTTTCCTCTGCTTCATCTATTTCCAGTCCATCATCTAACAGTTCCTCTATTAAGTATGGGTTTACCCTTGGGTGACCAGGCTTCAAGACTGGGTGACAGGGGCTAAGTCCAGTTGGACTGGAATTAAGGCCAGAGGTCAGGGGTTAAGTCCAGAGGACCAGACTTAAGGCTGGAAGTGTGGGAACAAGGCCAGTAGCATGGGAAACTGACTGGTCTTGGAGTGTGCACAGGGGGAAGCCAGTCTGGGGTTGGATCTACCTCCCTTGGTCCTAGCTTATGTGTTGTACCCTTATGCAAGCTGGGGAGAGGTCTGGGACAGGGGCTGGGAATAGCTTAAGGCTCAGCCTTAGCTATAGAGTAGACTTGAGGGGTAATACAGAGTTGAGGGTAATACTAAATTGATATTCTGACTGGAGTGCTATGAAGTATGTACAAGGGTTAAATACATGAGGCCAGTCTGGGGTAACAAGCATAGAGCTGGACTTGTTGATAAGCTAATAGAAAGATGATTAGCAAGAGGATAACCACAGAGGCTGTGCCAAGACTAATAGTCAAAGTCCAGGTGACTGGCATAACTGGAGTTGGACACAGGTTTGTACAGTAAGCAAGATCAGCAAAGGGGACTAGACTGAATATAGTACAAACAATGGAAAACAGGCTGGAGTTATGTCCAGGTGACCCAGACATGGACCTGGGAGGACTGGGGTGGAGCAGAACAAGGCTGGGAGGCCAGAATGGACCATAGATAGGGGTAAAACACTGGACTTGAGTTATTCAGGCCAGAGTTGGGTTATCTAGGGCTGGAGTTGGGTTTTCTAGGCTGGACTAGGACCAGAGTTGACTGGAGTTAAGGGCTAGGGGCCTGGACTGGACTGGGATTGAGTCCAAGAGTCATGGATATGACAGTATCCCCCTCTTAGGAACCAAACCCTTGAGGTTCCATAGGGAAATATGCCCAGAGGGTTACACAATGTAATTGCATGACTAACAGTGAGTCTGAGTGCACACACAGTGCCAAGGGTGAGCCTGAGGGCTGGGAAGCTGGGCAGTGATGACCAGAGGTCCAGTAGTTCAGACTGGGATGGCATAAGCTTGGTTTGGGGTCAAGGGTCAGCCAGAGATGACTGCAAGGGCCAGCTGGAGACTGGTCCAGTGGTCAGGAAGGGCTGGAAAGGCTAGTGGGAGCCTGGTTTGGACTTAGACAGGGCTGTAAGGCCAGAAATGCCAAGGGAGACTGGTATGGAGTGGGGCAGGGCTGGAGCAGCCAGCTGAAGGCTGGTCTGAAGGGGTTAGAGTGGTTTGGGGTGGTCAGAGGTGACCTGAGGTGCTATCTAGCTGGTGGGCTGATGACCAGAGGCCAAAACAGTGTAGGCTGGCAGGCTAACACTGAGACTGGAGTAACCAGGGGTAGCAAGATGCAAACCTGAGGCAAGGAGTGGCAAGGCTGGGTGCCAAGTACCTTGGAACAGGCCAGACAAGCTTCTGGAGGTCAGCAAGGGACTGGGGACTGTCTAGGACAGCTAGAGTTTGGTTTGGATAAGGACCAGAGGACTTGACATAGCCAGGCATGAACTGGGGACCAGCAGGTCATGAGACCAGTGCAATGAAGCCTAGGAGTGTCAGCCAAAGGTGAGTCTGGGTGTTGAGTCCAGTTTAGGGGTGTCCAGAGTTGGTTGGTAGTGGGTCTTCCAGTGGCAAGAAGCCTGAGGGCCAAAAGTCATTGGAGGACCAGTTCAGGGGGTCTGGGGACCAGGTGAGGCCTAGGGGTTGTCCAGCCAAAAGGCTGACAACAGGAGGCCAAGACTGGTGAGACTGGTGAACACACAATCACTGAGGCCAAGGACTACTGAGATAGTGAGACCAGAGTACCAACACAAATGTCAGGGGCTGGGAGCAACCTGGGGCAGGTGGTTCAGGAGTGTTTCAGTATGCAAGGACCAGGCCAGGGAACCAGGGACTGGTGTGCAGGGACCAAGTGGGGTTGTGCTGAGGGCACCATAGGGGTAATGGACAGGGGTTTGGAAGAGAGTAGGTCACTAGCAAGGTCCCTTATCCCCCTCTTAGGGTAAACTTCCCAAGTCTACAGGGGTACAAGGTGTGGGCTAGGACCATTGAGAGGAGTACTAGATGGGTAGTAGGAGACCTACCACTGGAGTTGTGAATCCAAGTACTGAAAAACATGGAGACCAGCTTAACAGGTGTCAAGACCAGTTCCAGGAAGCTTTTACAAGGCTGGGAAAAGCTTTAAAACTGGAGATACAAGACCAGCAGGGCAGGGTGGGCTGGTACAGGGATAGTAAGGAGTGTTGGAGTCAAAAGTGAGGGTATGAAGGCCAGAGCCAGAGCCTGAGGGGAAACAGGAAGGCCAGTGAAGGCTGGCAGGTCAAAGACAACTGGTAAGACCAGGGTTGGGAGGACAGGTAGGACCTGAGTTCCAGAGTCAATGGTGGGATGACAGTGGCAATGGTTACAGGGAAGGTGAGGTTAGCTGGCACCTGAAGGGGCCTTGTGAACATACAAGTTCTGGGGAAAGTGGGTGAGCTGGGAAACAGACCAGCAAAGTTGGGAGTTTGTCAGATGGGCCAAAGCCCAGGGTTGTCTTGCAAGCAAATTCATGCTCCAAGGTGGGGTTGATGTCAGGAGGGTTAGCAAACTTTAGCATTAGGTGGGGATAGGTGACTGCACTACACTTGGCCACCAACAGGTGCCTATTGAGTGGGCTAGTCAGTTCCCTACAACCTAGATACCTCAGTTCCTAACAAGTTGACAAGGCCAGTTAAACAGGGGGTCAGTGACCAAGAGAGAACCAAGGCTGGGTCCACCAAGGACTGGAAAGAGGTGCTTAGGTTAAGACCATAGCACTGGGGTAGAGGTCAGGGGTAGTTCTGGGATGTGGGACAAGCCCAAAGGCCAAAGGAGTGGCAAGGGAGTAGCATAGAGCTACCCAAGGGGTATCAGAGGCCAAGGGAGGCCAGAGATGGAAGACTGGCCAAAATAAGGGAATCCAGAGTGAGCAAGACTGGTCAGGGACCATGAGGAGGTCCAGAGATGAACACCAGAAAAGAGAAAGAAAGGCTGAAGTCAGCAAGACTGGTCATAAGGGGGTCCAGAGGTGATAAAACCAGACACAAGTAGGAGGACCAGAGTCAGCAAGTCCAGTCCAGGGCTGCAAAGCCAGGTTGAGGCCATGGGACTGGCAGGACAAGCCAGGATTGCTAAGGGGAACAGAGTAATGCACTAATTGATTGTCTCTACTGAGACCACCAGTTTGGCTTCTGGTGTACCAGAGTACCAACTTGTTGACCCAGTTAGGATCCTGGGGTAGACTCTAATTGTTTTGTCTCAACCAAGACTACTGGTTTTGGCTTCCAGAGTACAGTGTTACCAACTTGTTAACCCAGTTAGGATCCCAGGGTAGACAGAGGAACAGGGAAAGGACTGGAAATGAGGTCAGGGACTGGGATAGGGGCCAGAGGACCAGCAGACCAGTCCTAGACCATAAACCAGGGGCCAGGAGCAAGTCCAAAGGACCAGCATGCCCAGGGGGTGCTTCCAAGTGGAAAGAGGGGCTGGAAGAGAGGTCAGAAACTGGGCTAAGGGCCAGGGGGCTGGCAGACTAGTCCTAGACCAAAGTGGAAGTGTCAAACACTAGCTGGGACCACCCAAACCAAGGGCCAGGAGCAAGTCTGAAGTACAAGTGCTCCTCCCAAGGCCAATGAGGCTCACACAGGACTAGGACAAAGGACAGGAGAACCAGGAGGGGTCTGTGAGGAATGGGAGGGTCCAAGGAAAGCCAGGACCAGTCCAAGACCTAGTAACAGGTCTAGATAAGTCCAGTGAGGTGTTTGAATCAAACCAGGGCTGGGATGGCCAGTAACAAAGGGAAGGAGGCCAAGAGAAGTGGCAGACCAGCTTCAGACAAGTCTGGGTGAGTGTGGACAAGCCAACCCAAGGCCAGACAGGCCAGTAACAGACAGTCCAGAGACTGGAAAGGGGTCCAGGGCTCCAAGGCCAGTGTAGCAAAGGCCAAGGGTGGAGACTGGCCCAAAAACTGCTGAAGACAAGTGCCAATGGGGAACAGGGAAGGTGTTGAGGACTTGGACTGGCTAAGTCCAGGCCTGGGGGCTGCACCAGAGATGCACAGAGGTCCAAAGACCAACATTGGGGAGTCAGGAGGTCAAATGAGTGATGTGATCCCAGTGTTCAGTAGGGCTAGAGTGCTGGGATGACTGAGGTAAGGACTGTGGTGAAGACCAGGGTGACCAGCCAGGGGTCAGAGGTAGCTCAGGGGAGCTAACAGAAGTGAGTCCAGTTGTTGAGGCCAGCTCAGAGGCAAGTCTGGAGGGTAACTCTGACTTGGAAGTGGGGTCAGGCATGAATCCAGGTTGGTGGTGAGTCCAGATGGTAAGTCTGGCTCAGGGGCTGACATGGCCAGTCTGGAGTCAGGAAGAAATGAGTGGCAGGTAGGGATCAGGAGTAAGGGAATGGATGCATTAAGTTTCAACCACTAGGAACATAGTGCTGGGGGTAATGTGACCTGGGGGGTGCAGAGTGCTGAGGGTCACCAGTTACCTCTCTGCTTCAGCAGAGATCTCCAGGTTGGGCTCTGGAGTCAGATGAGAGGTAGCCCAATGGGTCCCAATGGGCAAGGTCATGGGTAGGGGCTCTAAAGCAGGACCTAGACATGAAGAAGTGACTTGCACAAGTGTGAGTCAAAATATACTGTTAAGTACAGGTTTACCCCTGGGTGACCAGGCTTCAAGACCAGGTGACAGGGGCCAAGTCTGGCTGACCAAAGTCAAGGCCAGGAGACAGGGGCCAAGCCTGGTTGGACTGGAATTAAGGCCAGAGGTCAGGGGTTAAGTCCAGAGGACCAGACTTAAGGCTGGGAACATGGGAACAAGGCCAGTAGTGTGGGAAACTGACTGGTCTTGGAGTGTGCACAGGGGGAAGCCAGTCTGGGGTGGTTGGATCTACCTCCCTTGGTATCAGCTTATGTGCTGTACCCTTATGCAAGCTGGGGAGAGGTCTGGGACAGGGGCTGGGTATAGCTTAAGGCTCAGCCTTAGCTATAGAGTAGACTTGAGGGGTAATATGGAGTTGAGGGTAATACTAAATTGATATTCTGACTGGAGTGCTATGAAGTACAGTGGCTCAAAAAACTGACTGCATGTTTGTATGTTTACATTAGTTATGACTAAATGCAATAACCCCTAACCATAGCCCTAAACCATGAGTGTATGAAATAGGGTACTTACTCTTGGCTTTCTATTGGTTTATGAATCAAGTGATTTGGATAGGAATTGATAGAATAGCAGCCATTTGAAAATGACATGTCATGTGGTCAGTTTTTTGACTTTAAGTTTTGATTACATAGTTTTGAGTTTAACAAAGTTTAAAATGCTGTGAGGTGCTTACTAATGCTTACATGGTATATCACATGGTCTATTTGATGATTTGTCATCATACAAACAATGCCAAACAATGAATTGGGACCATCAAGGCTCCCTCTTCTACCCCAACTCATGAAACCATCCTCCTGGTCCATCTGGGCCATTTTCTCAGAGTAATCCCCATAAATACTGGTGCCCACTACAGTAATGTCATCAGGGTATATGTCCAACACAATCAAACCCTTGAAAAATCTGCTTTCAGTCATCCTTATGCTGTTTCCCCCACCCATACCTGACATGTTCTGCACCTAGTCAGTACTGAGACAGCTGGAAATGCCATGGAGGTCAATCTGGCACATCAGAAAATGATGAACAAACAAAACACCTTTTAACCAGTACATTTTCACCACAGTACAATTAGTTCAATGCTGGGGTGAGACAAAACATTCCTGTGCACTTCAGGTGGCATGGGAAGCATGGCTAGACTGTGCTCTCAGCTGACTGTGGATGACTGGGAATGGGTGATTTGGTCATATAAGACCATAGGTAATACCCAGGCCTAGATGGATTGATGGAATCTCCTTCCTAGCAGTTCAGTGGACTATCCCCCCTAGGGCACCTGGACTGTAATGAAGGTTTTCAGCTCACCCTAGCCCTCAACCCAGCACCCTTGAGGTGGAAACCCACCAGATAAGAGGTGATTGGATTGTTGGTCATGTTTTAGAGTGCCAGATTAACCATCATGGATTTTTCAGCATTCTCAGTACTGATTAGTTGCAGAACATGTCAGGTATGGGTGGGGGAAACAGCATAAGGATGACTGAAAGCAGATTTTTCAAGGGTTTGATTGTGTTGGACATATACCCTGATGACATTACTGTAGTGGGCACCAGTATTTATGGGGATTACTCTGAGAAAATGGCCCAGATGGACCAGGAGGATGGTTTCATGAGTTGGGGTAGAAGAGGGAGCCTTGATGGTCCCAATTCATTGTTTGGCATTGTTTGTATGATGACAAATCATCAAATAGACCATGTGATATACCATGTAAGCATTAGTAAGCACCTCACAGCATTTTAAACTTTGTTAAACTCAAAACTATGTAATCAAAACTTAAAGTCAAAAAACTGACCACATGACATGTCATTTTCAAATGGCTGCTATTCTATCAATTCCTATCCAAATCACTTGATTCATAAACCAATAGAAAGCCAAGAGTAAGTACCCTATTTCATACACTCATGGTTTAGGGCTATGGTTAGGGGTTATTGCATTTAGTCATAACTAATGTAAAACATACAAACATGCAGTCAGTTTCTTGAGCCACTGTATGTACAGGGGTTAAATACATGAGGCCAGTCTGGGGTAACAAGCACAGAGCTGGACTTGTTGATAAGCTATTAGAAAGATGATTAGCAAGAGGATAGCCACAGAGGCTGTGCCAAGACTAATAGTCAAAGTCTGGGTGACCAGCATAACTGGAGTCAGACACAGGTTTGTACAGTAAGAGCTTGTATGGAAACCATAGTTCAATTGAGGTTCATACAGTTCTTGGATTGTTCTTGTTTGATGAGTGGTGGAGAGATCCAGGCCAATGACTCAGAGATTGAAATGTTGGTATCCCTCCTGATGGTAGGATGTCTCTCACTCCCTACCTTGCCTCTACCAATACTCAACACAAGCACATCTGGCAAGTACTGATTGAACTTTTTAATGTTCTTGGATCAAACATCATGGAACTAGCAGCACCTGTGGGAGAAGTAGATGAGGGAGCCAAGCATGCTGACTGCACAATGGAGGAGACCACTGCACTCATCAAGTACTTGCATGTACATCGCTCAGAACATGCTGACACTGGGAACTTCCACCAAGTGACATATGTCAATGCTGCAGAGCACATTTGCCCCCTCCATCAGACTGGTAAGATCAAGGATTACAAAAATGTGTTGCTCAAATGGGGATCAGTATGTCCATCCCTACTCTAATTTGCTATATTGATGTTCAGTGGATGTAGATCAAACAAATATACAATGCAATAATGACTTATTGCAGAGGATCAGGAGAACATTGGGACAATGAAAATGGTGCAAATATCTGTGGAGCAGCTGACATGGAAAAATGGGGCAAGTTTGTTGCCATCAAGGCATGTATTTGGTATGAATAGATACTAATATGTTACTGAGACATTCAGAGAAATACAATTATGAGGCCCTTCTGTAACAAGGGCTGGGAGTACCTCCAGTTCATGGAGGATATTTTTCCACAGGGTGGCACAACTGGTGCTCATGTTTTCCATGCTGGGATGTCAAACCCCACCCCTACCATGACTATTGGCAGTACCACTTCCATTCCTTCCATCCCCCCCACTGCTGCCACATCAGCCAAAATTTCCGACCCTGCTACTGCATCCACTTCAGCTGGAAAGCACTCGTTTTTGGTGATGTCCACTGATATCACAGCAACAGAATCCCCCTCTGGGCCCTCCCTTCTATTCTCAACAAACCAGCTTCCCCAGTCAACTCCAGTCTCATCCATTCATGACAGTAAGTGCAGCTGGATGTCTGCACACTCTTCCAGTAAGGCAAAGCCTCAAGCCACCAATGCTCACACTGTTGCAGTCATATCAGTCAACAATACAATCTGGCACCTGGGGGACCAGCTGTCAATGACATTCATGGATCTGCTGATCATGGTTCAGACAGCCACTCAGATGTTGTACAAAGATGCCAAGATCCTTCCCCATCACTGCATGTTCATGACACATCAGTTCTCCAGCATATCTAACACTGCAGCTGTCTTTATTTCTTTGCCTGATGAACAAGCCCAGCATGCATATGTAGTAGATATGTACAACTCTGCCCAAGAAGGAATGGGCCATGGCACATAGATTCCCCCCCCCTCCCTCATCATCATGTAGCTTCATGTCTTGTGTCTAGTTAGTGCTGCATGTATATTTGCTCCAGAATGCATACATTTTCTCCTCTGAACACATCATAAATTGATTCAGTGCAAGTATGAGATGCAGTAACTACACTAAACAAAATCTGCCACTTCATCTTTGAAGAAATCTGATTCTACATCTGATTCTGCATCCATGTCACCCCTCTGCACTTGCTCTCCCAAGACAAACTGATAGTCATTCCACATTTCTGTCACAATGTCATCCCACATCCTGTGCATAAATAAGCCTTCTTCTACACCTGTTGCATGTCCCATAGCTTGGAGATGAACAGGAGTGCCTTCACCTTCATCATCTTCATCAGCTGTGAGGTCACCTGTGCCCTCCCCATTCTGATCATGGGTATAGATGAAATTGTGCAGTGCACAGAGGGCTGCAGGAATTCATGCCTGTACATTGATGTCATATTCTGGTGCCAGGAGCAGTATTCAAAACCAGTGCTTCAAAACACTGAAAATACATTCTATCACATTCCATGCAGATGCATGCTGCAAGTTAAAGAGTTCCTCTTTATTCGTTGGTCTGATGGGAACTAAAAAAATGGAAAAAGGGATGGAAAAAGGAAAATGTACCAGGTGTTGGCACAGCCCCATTCTGCAAGATGATACTGAACACCTCAGTAGGGGATGAGCAGCTCTTGGTGTGAGGGGTAGCCAGCATCAGCAAGAATGTATTTTCCAGCAGGAATGTGGAGATTGGTAGATGTTGCATCACCATATACATGAGCATCCATCACAGACCCTTCCCACCCTGTCAATGTAAAGACAAACCTCAGACCAAAGTCACAGATAAAAAGCCCATTCTGTGAGAGGAATCCTTTGTGATTGCAATAGCTTGAACATATGATTGTGGGGGGGGGATATGGGAATGTGGCAGCCATCAATTGTGCCAATCACATCCTGAAAGTATGGCCAAAACTTGGGGTTGTGGTGTATTTTTGGATGGACAGCTTCACCAGTTGGAAACTGTATGTAGATGGAATAGAATGGTGGGTCTGAAAATATAAAGAGCAATTTCTTGAAGTATCTGTACACAAATATGTGAATTGTTGCATGGATTTCATATTGAACTCACTGAGATATCATATTGTTTGATTGCTGAAATTGTTTGCCAACATGCCTGATTGTCAGGCCAGTTACACATGTATACAGGAAAATTGCAAGCTCTTCCTCCAGGGTAACAAACTCTGAGCTTTTATGACCAATACCTCAAAGCTCCTCAACAAGCTCAACAAAAACCTCCTCACTCATACCAAACTCACAGCAGATATGATCAGGATGACCAGTCAAGACTTCCTGGACCCACATTTCTCCAGAGAGTCTGGAGGTGTGGTATGGTATTGGGTCTCTGTGCATGCTGGAACCAATCAGCTCAGCCAACAAGGCCAGAAGTGTCTGGAGAAGGACCAAGATTTGCTGCAGCAGGGCACAGCATACATTCAGATGATCAGGTGGCATGTTCAATCCCTGACATGCTGCCAGGCCTTGTGCTGAACTTGTGCACCACTTGTCAAACAAGAGAACTGTGTGAACTTCAACTGAACTACAGTTTCCATACAAGCTTTAAGGAATATCAGCAAAGGGGATTAGACTAAATATAGTACAAACAATGGAAAACAGACCAGAGTTATGTCCAGGTGACCTGGACATGGACCTGGGAGGACCAGGGTGGAGCAGCACAAGGCCGGGAGGCCAGAATGGACCAGAGATAGGGGTAAGACACTGGACTTGAGTTATTCAGGCCAGAGTTGGTTATCTAGGGCTGGAGTTGGGTTTTCTAGGCTGGACTAGGACCAGAGTTGACCAGAGTCAGGGGCTAGGGGTCCAGACTGGACCAGGATTGAGTCCAAGAGTCATGGATATGACATCCTCCACAGCAGTAAAGTTCAATACATCTGCCTTTGTCAGTAACACTATTACTGGAACTATACACACAATTAGTTCAATGCTACAATTTCAATACAGAAAATGATTATGTACCATGACCTGTGTCACATTCATTGAAAAATTTGAGCTCAGCAGCAGTCACTGTCCTATGATAGTCAGTCAAAGGGATGCAGTACCTATATACAGGTGATTCTTCAGTCCACACTCCCTCATAGTAAGGTTCTTACCAGATAGCATGGATACATTCTCACAGGCTTCTTGCAACCACACAATCCCCCACAAAGCTCTTCATATTGTCAAACTGCTCCACAGAACCTGCCTCAAACCCACAAGAGTCATGAAATACAAACCCTGGATTGCTCCAAAACACAAGTTCATCCTCAATATCATGGTAGCCACACTAGAGGTATTTAGTTTCCAGTTCAATCTCCATTGCTCAAGAAAAGACCTTACCTTCAAGCTACCTTGCACAAGAGCACTGTCAATCTGAGAATGGTCAGCAAGGTGTCACCCACTCTACATTCACATACCTTATTACCTTTTCCATCAAAAATTTTGGGATCATCTACTGTGTTGCAGACCCGCTGGAGGATAGTCGTTTTGCCTGCATTTGCTCGACCAATGACCAGAATTCGAAACTGCTTAATATTCTTCATGTAATTCCTAGCCCTTTCGGGATTTAAATGATATGCAGGAGACGAGGAACTCGCTATACCTCGACATCAGGCACTAGGGAAATCATCAAGTGTAATGCTGTTACCTGGGCCAGTAGCCTCGGTGGTGGTGGGGCCAGGGCTTGCTGCATCTCCTGTGGGATTGGTCGCAATTGAGTCTCACCGTAAATTCCTCAGAGCTTCAACCACAGACAAGACACCCGTACCTGTGGATGCAACTGCAGCGGTGGTATCATCGATTTCATCGCGCTTTTGGCGGTTTGCAAACGGAAATGGATTCCGCAACTTTGAAAAAGGTCCGGGCGCTATGTGAAGCTTGGATATGATTTTTTATGCGATATGACAAGGAACGCAAGGTGTGCGGTAAACAGCGTGCTGGCGGTTGCGTTGGAGTGGCTGGACGACACGAGTCACGACACGTTAATCAATGTCACGGCGCTTATCTGCAGGTAAACCACGAGGCAATGGGTGACTGCTAGAGATAATCTGGGCAAAAAAAAAGGGACGGTGGGACGGCCAGAGCACCCGGGTAAGTGATTCTCCGGCAGAAGGCAAAATGTGTATGGGAACAATACAATTGACCAACTCGAAAGTTCAACGTAAGACCGTGTACGCTCCTCGGAATCTCGTTGATATGAGTCGTTCACTTGTGTGTACTGGTAGGGCTGTCCATATGTCTATCAGGGACTTCTACTGCAACATGTTAAACGAGTCTAAGTACCTTTCTCCTCTCGAAATTATGATCCAGAGAAGAGGTATCAAGGTAGGCATACCCCGTCAATGTCAGTCCGCGAGCAGAATTGTGCATCCAAACGACAGATGTAGGGAATTGCTTTTTCTGCTCTAGGCGCACTGGTGCACTCTTCGAAGGTATGTTTGGCATTCGTTCTCATAATCCCCTTTTAATAGAAAAAAGCCCGTGACCTCACTTTGGGACATGCAAAAAGCAGCTGGCAGGTTCGTTCCAGTCGGTTTTCCGCATGTGTACCGATGCATACGTTCACCTGATGAGTTTAGCGCTACTCAGTTCGTCCGCACTCGGCGCAATCTCCATCTTGGTCGCTTAGGCTCGTCTCATCTGCAAAACACCAGTAGGCACCCACTGAAACCATCCGCAGTCACCCCGTTCGAAGAGGTGGTCAGATGGAAGGTAGCTGAGACGTACAATCTCACACAGGCCTGCCTTACCTAAATGAACGGAGGCGTGTGATGTTCATCGTGTCACTGCTTGCGCCCCCTCCGCCTGTGATTAGGACGAGTCTCGATGTTGGTGCATCGCTGCGAAAGGACTGATGGGGATATGGTCGTGGTGAATGGAAGTAGAAAGCTGGGAATGGCGGATGGCGGATGAGCCCATGGTGTCCAAGGCATTATCATGCTATCTGTACGGCAGTACTTCTTGGACTTGGATGGGTTTCTTACAAATGGTACCACTGAGTACTTAGGCTAATGCTTAACACTTGCTGCATACCTAGGAAGCGTGGGATAACCAGTAGATTTGGTTTGGGCGCCCTGCACTGCGTGTGTCTGACTAAATAACCCATTGGCCAATCCATGATCAAGAGACGGACCCGACCACAAGTTCGCGTCAGAGAGACATCAGAGGAGGTCAACGACTCACAAGACAATCAACAGGGATCCGCAGACGAAGAAGAAGACAAATCACTTCCGTGCGTTCTACTACGGTTTACGGTCCAAACGACACTTCTCTTATCACAATAACTGCCTACCCACGACAGACTTTCTGAGCTTCTCGAACTTCGCAAACTACGTAGATCAAGGCAAGGCATCGATGTACAGAAACTCTCCAGGGGCGATGCGAAGAGGAAGAAGCGGCGTGATATTGACGAGGACGAGCACCATGATATAGGCGGGTTGAAGCCGGGGGCTAAACTGGACGAGTATGTTCAAGCACACCTGACAGTTCCTCTGAAAATAGGGTGTTTTTTTTTTCTAACATGATTGAACAGCGAAGACGGAGGTATCGATGCCAAGGCTAGGCGCGCCGTCAGAACCAACAACTTCACGCAGCAGACCAACACGGTGGATGTAGACAAGCACATGTATGTTCCCTCTGTTACCACAGCTTGACAATCCCTTCATATACGGACCTTTGTTTAGGATGGCATATATCGAGGAGAATCTGATGATCCGTAGTCGACCGCCAGACCCTTCAGAGTCCAAGTCGAAAGACGCCAGTGCTCAGGACGAGTTCACACTCTCAGAGCGGTGGAAGATAGAGAAGAAGATTGCAAATGAAGGAAGCGTCACCGCTAGCATGTCCATGCTCACAGCTATACCCGAGGTTGATCTCGGCATGGAGTACGTGGTAGTTTCTCGTTGATGTGGAGCTCCAGAGGCATTGACGCCTATTATAGCACTCGACTCAAGAATATAGAAGAGACGGAGAAAGCGAAACGTCAGGTCGCTGAGGAACGTAAAGAGCATAAGAAAGTGGATAATGACGAGGAGCATCTAGTCGCCACACGCTGTAAGCTTCTTTGCTCGGTTCATCAATTCATCACCCTTCTGAATTCAGCGGTTCACCAGTCTACCGTCCGCACATCAAGCAGAAGTCTGATGCGGAAATCATGAGAAACGCGAAGTTGCAGGCTATGGGGTTGCCTGTGCCAGAGGAGCGCCGACCCCGTAACGACCGGCCACAGATGGCTACAGATGATATAGTACGTAGAACGTTGTGTTGACCTTTTTACCTGCCACTCAATACTTTCCCTCAGGTTATGGAAAGATTTAAGAAGAGGATGCGAAGATAACTGTCAGAATATGTACCAGTCCTTATATCTATTATTGGTCCGCTCGCGATAAGTTGGTAATAATGCAGTTCTGATAGTGACTACCTCAAAGAAAGTGTCTGTTACTGCAATTAGTGTTCTCCATGATATTACATCATGGGAGCTGCAAAGCGAGCTCTTTTAATTTCTCGAAATTCGGTGTTCCAAGTCCAGTGACTGTACCGGATTATGAGCTGGAATCTACTTGACGAAACGCCCCCTACGACTTACCTGGATCCCAACCGGTAGTAGCCTGCGCGTCATGAATGTCAGCGTGGACGGAAGGAAATGTTCTACTTGACCATGTACTTACATTAAAGCCCTCCGTACCGCACCCCGGGTTATTGCCCGTGGTGATATCATTCAACCCTGCATAGCCCGCGGAGTAGAGCCATGGGTTCAGGAAACCGAGACTCTTCTTCCCCGCACTAATGCGCGCATCGTTCAACATGGAAGTGATCGAAGCAAAGGTTGGGCTAGATGCTGAGGTACCCCCAATGTACGTAAACTTGCCCTGATAAGCTATCATGAACCATTCCGATTGGGCAGAGACATCAGGATAAGCCTGTATATACATCATGATGGTCGTTAACTGGCCACATGTTCTTCCAGTTGTAGAAACTTACACGCCCATCTCTGTCGTCGAGACATTGGAATGATGAGGTGCAAACTTACAACACGGACGCAGGTACTCACGGGTTATACAAGCCCTCATATGTGCCCGGAGGAAGTTTTGACAGGTATTCGGAAACTGCTTCGTCTTGGTAAGAAGGACGGGAGAACTGACCATCTATTAGCATATGGCCCAACAACTAACAGGGACTACACTCACATAATTGCTGAATCCTCCAGAAGAGAACGACGCAGCAGTTTCGGGTATGTGAGCGGTGCCGCCGACGGTTGTGACGCTAATAGTATATTCTCGCGTGAGGTAGTGGTTTCCGCAATTTCGAGGTAGCCTTACTATGGGCAAGCAGCTGGGAACGTTGGGATGAACATCGTGGCGTTCCGACCGTCGTTACTGAAGCATTTCTGAGTTTCTGGGTTGGGGTCACCGTCTCCAACACCTATATCACCGGAAGAGAACGTAATGGAGACACCACGTGCGCCAAGTGCAGCAAATCCGGTGCACACACGATTCGCATACGACTCGGGGACTGTACAAAATATGAGCATTCCGTGAGAAGCATATGAAACAGAGCTACCGGTCTGTTCGTCGTCGCCATAGCTAGTAGATATCGTTTGGGGCAAGTTCTCTGCTGAGAGCACGTATTCCAACCACTATCGCTCTTCGACTGAGAAAAGCACGTGGACTCGGTGAGCGCGCTTACATAACTATATGGTTCGTTGGTATTGTTTGGAGTACGTGCATCGGGATCAAAAGGTGGAGAGCCCGCAGTGGTATAAAACGTTCCGGGGGTAGGGTAGGTCAATCCAAATGCGTACTGAGAGTCTAGGTTTGCCTCCTCCCCAGCTGCTGCAACGCTTTGGTTATTCTGGCCACCTAAGGGGATTGAGAGCCGGTAGGACGGTGCCGGAGACAGAGCATCGCATACCATTGATAGAAACCAGTGTGTAGTTTGACCCACAGGCAGCAGGAGCATACGTTTCGAAGAATTGCTGTAGGTCGTCATTGTTTACGTATTGCTCGAGATAGCCAGTGATTCCTATCTGGTTGCCGTTAGTTGCAGAGGTCTCATAACCAACAGCATTATACAGCTGCCGCAGGCATGCAGGGGTTATCTGGGCACAGAAACCAGTATCACTATGCATCGCCTGGGATTTGCGGGGATCACTGACCGTTTGGTTGCAGCTGGCATCGATCTGGTTTCCAGCAGGACCTATGATAGTATCGCCGGTGATAACATCAACTGATGGGGCTGTCGTCCAGTGCATAGTACTCTTGAACGCTTTGAACCGAGCGAACATCGTAGTTGGCTGTATGAATTGTATGTGCTCGTGCAAGACTTCCGGTAGGCTATAGCTTGTGGTTCTGACGATATATTCATCCGTCTCTGAGTGACGGTAGATGTAGTATTTCTGTACCATAACGTCAGTGGGACGGGGAACCAAACTAGTGGATAGTTCCTTCTTACAGTATCGAGCATCTCCTCCGCTAGGCTGACGGGAACGCGAGCAGTGACCCAGTCTTGGGCAGATGAACGAAAGAGATGTTCCTCATAAATGCCGTAGGAGGCCAACCACTCGCTGACGGTGTCGACGGTGTAAGGGTATGGGGCCAAAAAAACTTCGGTCTCCTCCTTCGACAGGTAGTCACCATAGCGTTTATGAGTCGGGTCACTAACTTCCCAGAGGTGTTTCTCCAGAAGGGGGAAGTATGGCTGGGGAAGAGCGATCCTGAGTTCCAGGATATGGTTCGGGGGAGCAGGAGCGTGTTCGACCCAACCACGCGGTGGCGCAACGATGCTTTCCTTGATCTTGAATTGGCAGTCCTTGTAGGAAGTAGCGTTTGCCAGTGTCACCACAAGGTGAAGCAGCAGTAAGGACAGAGACCTCATTGTAGGAGTTAGTGAAGGGCCTGCTCCAGCCGAACGTCAGGCGAATGGCATTTGAGCAGGGCCGGCGTACACGCCTTTTTATATCCGCCCGATGCGGGGAACCTATAAATAATGGTTATTTTAATTAGAAGCGAAGTACTACATTCTACGAATGACCATAAGCGGAGGGTTCGCATGGGGAATGTCTGCTCTTTACTAACCAAGAGGCATGCGATGCCAGAGTCAATAGGATTCGGAGGATCTTGCAAGGCCCGAAGAATTCCCGTGCCGGTGCTTGCCAGGGAGGAAGGGAAAAGCGAGTCGAAAAAAACCCTGACGTGAGACAGACTGTTAACAGCAGTTCGGTGCCTCGTGATCGAAGTGCCGAGACGCCGCGTATGTATCACCCTTACATACACACTTACCTACAGCCTAATGCTCGATCATCATCTGAGAAACAGCTACGCGACGCGGCTGTTAACAGCTCTTCCGCACTTGAGCGAGCTCTCTCATTGGCCAACAAGTGTCTTAGCGAGTCTTACGACAAGTCACTTCCAAACGGAGGCAGGTATAACCTGCTCACTCCCTCGGGTAGTTTTGCAGATGCATGGTGCAGTGTATCGCCTTCCCGCGCTTGGCGGTGTGTTCTAGGAGTGAGGAGCAGGAACGTACCACATCTCGCCCGCTCGGTCAACTAGCGTTTGGCCAGTAGAACATCGAATCTATGTAATGTTCGGGCTAAGCTTCTCCCCTTGTTGTGGAGACTTCAAGGCGCTTGACGATAACGAAAGAAAAAATCGTTCGAAAGCCCCACAGCGCCCATACTACAGGAGGAATGATGGAAAAAACAGGGATGCTTGTTACCATGGAGTCTTCTGGATTTAATACATGCTATGATGCCTCCGCAAGCAAAGAGATAAGATAACCGCGTGTCAGTGTTTGTCCTTGTTTGATCAATATCCACTCCCGATGGCAGGGTATTACACAGGCGAAGAAATATCAGCGAGAACTAAAAAAATGATCGTGACGGATTCTGTCTCCGTGTTTGCGGAGGGAACATTCGAGGAACAGGTAAACGTTTTAGATGCTTTCTTCGCGGTTCACTCTCATCTGATTCCACGCAGATCCAGGAACTCGTAGAATACGCCACGCGTGGTAGGCCCGATGATGAGCGCGCCTCAGTATTGCAATCTTTCAAGAACATTGTGGGCGCAGAGGGAGACGAAAAGCCAGTGGAGATTGATACTAATCATCGGCAATCAGCTCTCAAGCTAGTTCTCGATAACACGAAGGGGGTAGGAGAGGGAACGGAGCAAGGTACATCTTCAACCCACAGACATATTCACGGAATTAGCTCCTAAACTGACCGCACGCAGAGATCGAGGGATTCTTCAATCTGCTATTCTCACACCTGCTCACCTTGTGGCCCGACCCCTCCCCAGAAATACGTCAACATGTAGCATCGCTCTTGAGCGTCCTTTCTGTGTCACCTTCTGAGCAATCATCAATAAAATATCGCGTGTATGAGAACGTCGACTTCTGTTCATATTCTGGTTGTTAACTTCTTCTCAGACTGTCAAATTTGTTCAACGCCACGCCGAGAACATCTGCCCTTCGCCCTCCCATATATACCACCCTTCTGGAACTCGCTATATCCAACAACCAACTCGACGTCGTGTCGTTCTCAAAACCAGATATTGAGCGGTGGCTTAAGGAATGGAGTGTTTCTGACGAAGAAAAAAGCCAATTTCTCAAATTTATTGTGGACATACTGGTTCAATCTGGTCGACCGTATGTCTGCCACTCTTTCTTTTGCTTCCTGTCTCTCATTCATCGTCTTTGCGAAAGAGAAAAAGCTTATGAGTATAGGTTACTGTATGTACAGTCCCTTCCCCTATCGTCCGAACTTCGCCAGTCGGCAGCAGTCGATGCCATCGCTGCCGCCCTTCGTCAACCAACGGTCTTCGACTTCGAACCGCTGTGCAAGCTAGAGGCCGTGATAGCTGCAAAAGACCACGAACTTTTCCCCTTGCTTCAGATATTCCTCAACAGTGGGTACCCAGAGCTGACAACCTGGGCGGATAACAACATTGCTGTCCTCGATACTTACGGCAAGTGTCCTTTTCCTGGTACGATCCAATAGACGGCGTTCTGACATCATGCAGACCTCAACCGGTCAGAATTGGAGCGGAAAATCCGGCTCCTTGCGTTCTCATCCCTTGCTTTCGACTACATTGGCCGTGACCTCTCGTACTCGCAAATAGCTTCTACTCTGCAGGTTAGTTCATCAGAAGTAGAAAAATGGTCCATTGACGGTAAGCCTTTCGCGCCCATACTACGATCTATACTCATTCCGAGAGATAACTTAGTGATCCGTGCCGGTTTGGTTTCTGGGAAACTATCTCAGGCGACCCAAACACTTCACGTATTTCGCTCTTCTGCACGCAAATTCGAGCGCGAACAGTGGGAGGCGCTCGAGAAACGGCTTCTTTCCTGGAAAACTGGGCTTGCCAGTATTATCGAAATAGTTGCAAATGCCCAAAGATGGGGAAGTGCGGGCGACATCGCCGAGGCTATCAAGGGCGAATAGGGAACTCATGTCGAGAGCACGGCTTAACTTGAGCTATGCATTTAAAAATTGAAGTTGCATAGCTAATTACTTGTCATTAATTCGTTTCGGTTTGAGGTTCCCATAGTCGGATAATTGCATCGTCGATGGTGTAGTCGACGAAGCAACCTGTGCAGCATGGAAACTATCTGTTATCATATCCAAGGTTACAGGTAAAAGGAAACATGATATGTAAAACAAAATAGATATATCAGTGTCTAGGAACTTCCAATGGACTGTGCAGCGATCTCAGAAGCCGAAACAGGTCTTGGAATAACAGGGTCCACCTGCTCTCCTGGTGACATGTTCTCACCATCCTCCAGGCTTCTTCCAACAGCGGGTGGCTCTTCATGAGGGGGCAGACCTAGCCATGATGAAAATCCATGCCGCGAAAGCATAGCTTCCGGCGCCCGTAAGCCACCTCGGCGGAGTCGAGGTGCTTGAGAACGCTCGTCACTGCGGTCTTCGTCTGTGCGCATGCTTTCCGCTCTCTCAGAAGCGCTAGGCAACCCAGGTGGGGGAGGGAAGAGCCAGTCTTCAGAAACGCTTGTAGCTGGTCTGGGAGCGGGAATAATCTCGAAACGCCTTCCCCTACCAAATGGGAAGAATCGTCTTGCTTGCGAAGACGTACGAGATGTCGAAAACGTGTCCTCAGACCGAATGTTGGATGGCGAGCTATCTGGCAGCAGTGGATTAGTATTCGCACCATCCGGCCGAGTTGTGGGGTCATCGTCGACGGTAAGTTGACGTGCTAAGTTGCGTCTTTGAGTGGTAAACTCGTCGAAGTCCGTGAGCCGACGACTTCTTGGGGGCCGTCGCATAGGATTTTGTCTTGATGATGAACCATGGAGGAGACCACTAGCTGGTGGTAACCACACGCTCGCCCTCGGTGGGGGTGAGGCCTCGATCAATGGAGGCAACACCCTATCACTCGCGGGGGGTTCGGAGGGAGGGACTGGCAATGGGGGAGACATGTGAGGGATACTGAACACATATGGTACCGAGGAATTCGACCAACTATGTTGAGAGCGATATGCCTCATACAAGTCAGTGTTTATGCGAGCACCTTCTACGACAGGCACAAAGGCATTGTATGATCCTAACTCGTCGTCGTCGTCATCGACGTCCAGTTCTTCAGGGGGTTGAGATAGGTAGTCAGTGGGGTCCAAGGCCCGCCGACCACCCGTTCCGCGTCCTAGTCCACGTTCACGGTACACCGCCGGGGGACTTGAGAGCCTCCGCAACGACCTTGCGGTGCGATCGGCTATGAGACCACGGTCTGCAGTACTTTGGCGAAATCGACGTTCGGCAATCTCCTATATGACCCACCACTTCAATATCGACCCCCTGAAGTACCGAACTGGGCTGCGCACCTTGACTAAAACCTCGATAAGAGACGTGGTAAATGAGTCGCCACGATCTAGGTCTTCGACAAAGGCTTCATAGCTTATCATAGGCTCTACTTTTTCCAGCCTAGCGCGCTTAATCGCGCCGGAGCTATGAGAGCCATTTCCGTCAAACCCGCGACGCCAGACACGAAGTAGGGGGAGAAGCGCACACTAAACTCCTCATTTTTGCACCCAAAACATTATCATAATGTTCGGCAGTCCTGCGAAGAAAAGGCGACAGTCAACTTGCGCTAGTGTGGCGATAAGATGCAAAATTCTGCACCATTTTCCCATGTTGACTATGCCAAGTTCTGAGCCAGGAGCTGAGCCCGACAGTTGGCTTCAAACTTCGAAGTGGAATGTTTCAGGCTTTCAACGACTTGAGCGGCTGTGGAGCTCTTTGCCGTGCCACACTCTCAGTGCGGCCGTACTCGACGGGTGGGTAATAAGGATCAGTTATTGTTCTTTGTTTGTCCCACACAAACAATGGACTGCCCATAAATTTCAAACACAGATGCTGAGCTGGCAAAGCAGCTGCCACTGGCAGAGACCATAAGGAAAGGTGAAAAGAAAAATGCAATGGCCTATAGTTCAAAAGGGGATGTCGGTCGTACAATAACAAATCAACTCGTATCGTCTGGTCCACTCGCATTTCCATTGGTCCTCGGGGACTGTGTTGCTGCAGTGCGCGAGGCTGCTGCGCTTTGGCCAGCACGATCTTTGGAACTTAACAGGCTCTGGAAGAAGTTCTGTAGTACCTCATGCTGTGTTTGTCCACCGGTCGCGTTGGTTGAAGTTCCCAATGTCGGAGAGGTGGATGTACGGCCAACAGTACTTGCCCCTGGTGCACCAACAGACAATCCAGAGGTCGGTCGAGTTCCCCGCGACAGCTTCCGGGCAGAATCCCCATTCACGCTGGCACTCAGCGCACTGCTGCCACCCATTCTAGCTTCCATTTCGGAAAGTGCTCGCTCGACATTTGGGAGGCTGAAACTGCTGCTTCCCATGGGTCCGACAATACCCGCCGTGGCACTCTCGACAGGGTTGCGGAATGCACCTCGAGGATCGCGATCAGGGCTTTTTGGCGTTCTCGTCATAGTGCTTCGCAAGGAATGCTTGCTCAGCCATGGGGGCATTGAACGGCGGTAGTGGCGGCGGCTGAATGGCAGGCTTAGGTATTGTGATTGACTCGTAACAATTGGACTTGCCTTTGCCCCTTGGTCCGGTATTAGGGACCGGTACATCCGCTTTGCACCGCTTGCCTCCTCACTTTCCCCTTCACTAGCCTCAATATCAGTGTCCCAAGCCTCACCCCATGACTTCGCCTCGAAGCCCTCCCGCAAAACACCAATCTTCCCCCAGCTATCCCATCCAGCAGGAACCACGATCCGGTCGCGGTCTAGGGTATTTGGCTTGTGATGAAACACGAAAGGATTCCGTATCGACGCAGGGGCTTCCATTCCTGCTGAAACGCCAGGGGATGGCGCCTGGAGGGATAAACAGAAGATGTAGGGTATATTGCCGTATGACTTGTAATGTACTTGGCTGTGGGGTCGTATAAAATAATGCGGCGCCATCTGGGAAACGGATTGGCAAAGGCTCGGACGAGAAATGAGACGACAACTATGTGCTCACATTTCAGGCATATGGTCCTAAGAACTTGCATAATGCTGTCTGTCCGTTCCTCCCACTCTCCCACCTTTTCCCTTGACCATCCCACCCATCCCCTGAGGTACCTGGTCCAATCAGGTTACTGCCCTCGTCGATTAGATCTGCCTTGGAACACACAACGACAATTGGCACGCCGGCTGAATTATGGGTGAAAGTCCCAGGACCCAGCGGGAGGACGGCACTCGAAGTCAGATTGGAGGTCGCAGGGAGAGTGTCTGCAGAAGGTTCTGTATAATGCTGTAGATGCACCTGAACTGTGTTGGCGTGAAGAGATGACCTCGCACACGGAAGACATACATACGGCGCTCGCGGTTCTCTTCTCTTACAATTTCGACTTCACGAGATCCATCCCCCTTTGCCCATTGTTCTACCCACTTGAGCCACGTCTCCAGCTCCTCCACGAATGTCCAGGGACGCGTCCAATCTAATACAATCATGACAGCAGTATGGGGCAGAACGTTCTTTGGCGGTAGAAAGTGTGGCAGCAATGCGCTGTAAGCCTTCGCATCTGAAGGTACTGTGTACACGGATAACCGTGCAAGGGTATCTGCCAAAAGGTTCATCAACTATCTCGCTGCAGTTGGCAGGCCGACAAGCACACCTTCGTCGCCATCTTTCACGTCCGCCCAGTCATATCCCAGTGCGAAATCAGTCCGCGATTCCTCCGTGCTGTCATCTGCCACGGGTTTCTGCAGCAGGGTGGATGCGAGAAGGGACTTTCCAGGTCGATGGCTGGCCTAGGATAAGCACTTGCTTAGACGGCGTTGATCGTGTGGATGACACCGAATCCAGTATTGAGGACCACAAGTCTTGTGGGGGTGCCTCTGGCGTTCGACGAGCGTGACTTCCTCCATCGTCGATGGCCGTCAGCACTTGGATTTATTTTGTAATTTATTTCAGAGACGTGTACAAAAAATAATTGATTTTATAACTCCGAGTTATCTGATTTCGATGACCCTCAGGTATTTCCTGCAACCAGTCATGGCTGCAGCGGTAGCAGTGCCGCAGCACAAACTCTCAGAGACACCAAACTCGCGGTCGATAGAAATCAATGACTGGCTCATTACAGCGTCTACCAACCCAATCTCAAATGCCGCCGAGTGCGACTCGCTCCAGAAGCCACCTTGGGTTCTCACTTCCAGAAATGACGTTCGGGAACAACTATCTGACCCTGGAACATCGAACGTCGGCCTGGAAATTGACGTTTGATGCTAGAGGCGCGTTGATGGGAGTCAGGGGCGGCGAACTACAGGATGGAGACGGTGGTGTCAAAGTTGGATATGCCGATGCCTGGTTGAAGAGCCGGTGAGGCGATAGACGGCATCGGCCCAACTCACAGTCATTGAGTCTATCTCACCAGCACAGACCCGGATACAAATGTGCCTTTGCCCACCACAGTAGTGGCCAAACCTTACGATTGGACATACACTACTGTTTACTCTGGTCACCATCCTGGCGTCGAAACGGAACCTTCAGAGACTTCATCATCGGTATCTTGGAAAGATGGTGATCCCGAAAATGGCACACACGACATTCCTCTTGCTGAACTCACCCGTCCCGATCCAATTTTATTTTATGCCGAGATACCACTATACGAGGACGAGCTACACGACAACGGGTCGTCCAATCTGCTCGTCAGAATTGTCAGTTTACCTTGTTGCCTTATTTCTCTCAGGTAACTCACACCGAACAGCGCGTTATGCCAACGTGTTTCTTCATTCTTGCACGGTTCACCTTGCGGGTCGACAATGTGCTCTTCCGAATACACGACACACGGGTATACCACTCCTTCTCTTCCAACCCACCACTGGTTGTGCGCCAGGTAAGTGGATGGGAGGCACCCTACGATCGTATGAAACGGGTATGTGTAATTATCGTACGCGCATTTTGCCAATTAATCCAGTTCAAGCAATTGCCTCGGCGCAATGATTTAACTCCCCTGACGGACGCCAACTGGATAGCAAAAGTTTTGTCCGAGATGCCCGTCGAAGCTACCCAAAATGCAGGAGCTGGAACAAGGTGGAGAGGGTTGAGGACAAAACTAGAGGTAGCGGTGTTGAAACAACACGACTAGATGACCTTGTCAGCGGACCGTTGAATCGGAAGCGAGGATTGAGCGGAAAAGAGTACATGTATAATAGCGTATCTGAAGCTTCTGCATCATGCTGCACCTGAAAGAAAGGTACAGTATGGTTGGTACGACATGATCGTTAACGCTCCTGCCTCAGTAACGCCAAGAGCAACGTCCGTACTATCTCCGCGTTCGCTCGACCTTTACCCAATTTCATGACCTTGCCAACAAGTTTGTTTAAAACAGGGAGATTTCCCTTCTTCACAGCCTCCGCTTGTTGGGGAAGCTCTTCAATTGCTTCCAAACACCACTCTTTGACCAACGAAGAGTCGTCCCGGGAAAGCGCGATAAGACCTAGTTCCTTAGCTAGCTTCGAAGGGGAATCGAGTGACCTGTGGCTTATCATGTGGCGTAAGAGCGTCTTGCCCGACGTACCTGGGCACGAGTGTTGGGAGACGCACATAACCCCCGTACGAAGGGCTCACCTGTCACTTTGCCACTTTGCACCATGTCTATAAGCTCACCCATGTGTTTTACTGACACAGGATTATCGCTAAAAGTCTCTTTGCGCGCAGGCCAGCCTGGCCGAGGAGATCGTGAGTCATCCTATGTGAAAGGCACTGAACTGCAGGTGCGAACGTAATAAAAAAGGTAGTAGCATAACATACCAATTCACTACTATCTTGGGATCCCGCCCGCAAACGAGATCAGTAAAGTAGGCAACGGCGCCCTTTCCAATTTCTCCATCAAATCCGACCTCACGCCCAGCATCGACGGTCATGAGAACGTCTGCGTCACGCTCTGACAAGCCCATAGAAAGAAGGCGCACGCGTGTTTCACTGGGAAGCTCCGGCATAGAGGACCGGACGCGCTCGATGTATTCCTTCAAGACCACATGTCATTATTCCGATCATCCTGGTACTGATTCATGGCACTCACCTGAGAGAGAAGCAGCGGTGGGAGGATTGGGGTCCGGCATGTACCTGTAGTCCGGCGAATCTTCTTTGCTCCGTAGTTTAAACGTCTCTGCCTTGTCCTCATCGAATCCACGTGTCTCTTGAGGGACCGTTCGCCCACTCTCCAGAAGTTCAATGTGACGGAAGACCTCAGAGGCTAGAGAATATTGTCAATAGCCCGTCCTTATGTCATGGGATGATTACACAGACTGATGGCCGTCATCGTGAATTTGATGCTATTCAAATTTTTGATTTCGCACCGCGTTCCAGGTGGCTGTCCATGGCGATTCACCGACACGTTGATATCACATCGCAAAGAGCCCTAACAGCCTTGAAGTGTGAACTACCGCTATTATCTCCGAAATATAAATTCATACGTACGAGTTCCATGCTACCGTCGCTGGATCCAACCGCACGTAACAATGTCTGTAGAGTTCGAACATAATCTCCTGCCTCTTCCGGTGACCTAGCTAAATTCGAACGTGACACTTCTCAAGAAATGGGCCAGGGAGAGTCACCTCATGTCGGGCTCAGAAATAATTTCCATCAGGCCGGATCCCGCCCGGTTCAGGTCTACGAGTGAAACGCGTCGGTCAGCATGGAACGTTGACTTCGCGGTATCCTGTTAGTTGTACGTTAAGAAAAGGCACTTAAAAAGATAGAGATTTGCGCACTTGTTCTAACTGTAATTGTGTGATACGGACAGTGACATCACCGCGAGAGAGCTTCAAATAACCTCCTCTCGCCAACGGTGCTAAAACACAGGAGCATTTCACGTCAATCTATGTGTGCCCGTCAACACGTACAGGCATTTCTCACCATACCGCTGAGTGATCTGGTAGCCAGAAGGAAGGTCGGGGTAAAAATAGTGTTTCCGATCAAATGCTGAACGCCGCTGAACATGTGCATTCAGGGCTAGTGCAGTGCGGACCGCTAGTTCTACACATTTCGGATTCAGGCTCTACCTTTCAACTCAGAAGACGCGTTGTACAAAGGAGAGTGGTCGCTCACGGGCAGCGTTCCAGGAAGTGCAGCGTCAAAACAAGACACAGCCGTGTTGGGAGCCTCGTTGGTATGAGCTATCCTACCCTCTGAACCTTCTTAGTATCGCCCACAAAGGCAGTCGTAACCCTGGAATCATACTCACCAGAAAACAACTTTTTCCGCGATTTGATTTGTGCGTGCACTTCGATGCCAATGACGACTTCCCAACCAGGCCATCTCCTGTCCTCCACTCTTTCGCGCTGTCTGTGGATGCCTCGTAAGCCCTTAAGTCTCCAGAGTTCCTGCGATTTCCAGTGACACTGTGCCCGCCATATGGGACGCGGACGGACGAGGTTCATGAAGGCACCTAGTACTTTCCTTTTCCGGTGATCTTCTCCTTAGACTTTCAGTGACCGGCAGTGCTTGTCTGACTGTCAAGGTCACAAAATACACAGGTTCACTGCATTCACAGCCTCAGATCAATCTGTGACTAAACGCGGATATTGACGTCCAGTGCAAAGCTTTCGAGGAGTGCATGTGAACGATCAAGGCAAGTGGGAGGTTCTGAAGGATTCTGATTGCAGTGACCTAGTCCTGTTACACTTCCGTCGTGGGGCCTGCAAACATCAACGTCAACCATCATCAGCCCACGCATTCGGGTCCAGCGCTTGATAGGGGGCCAATATCAGCTCTTCACTCACAACTGAACATATTCCTGCTCCCGGCGCACGTTCGATTACAATGACTCATAGATTTCGGACGAGTATTTGGCAGGCTATGAGGCAGGAGACTCCTGGCCCAGGTTCTGCTGAGTTAGACGACGAGGAGCCCATCCTTCCTGTCTACGAAGCGGTTAGCACACCAAGCCCTATCAGTCCGGCAGGCTCTAACCCGTGGGTCTTTTCCTTTGATTCCGATTCTCCACCTTCTTTCCTTATTGATTCCTCCAACAAATGGGTGCTTGATATTAACCCTCACGGTAATAGGCGTTCCCGTGGACAGCCTTCACATACTCCGTCCAATTCAATGTGATGACAATCCGTCCTCTGTCTGCCTATATCTACTGACACGCATCCCCGCAAAGTTCAAATCAGTCCTTCTTACACATGGAACCTCTTACAGACGCTTTGACCTACATATATTCCCTCAGCGCTGGGGATGCCCCAATACAAATCACCATTATGTAGGTTTTTCCAGTGCTACCTGTACGACGACCGTGCCTTAACCCAAGCAGGGTAGAGGCAGAAGCAGACCGCCAAAACTTCTACACTTTCTCAATCGCATTGAAGGCAGGTCATGTGGAACGTGCTATATGCAAACCCATTACGTTGAGGCTTTCCGTTAATCCACGACAGCTTGATTTTTCGGTATTGTAAGTCGAGTTATCATGAACATGCAGCAAAGACTGAACGGATCTTTCAGTGTCTTTCCTCCAAGATCTTCATTGCCCGTCGGCTGCCTACATCACCTGCGCGTGTGGCTTAGATCAGCGGCCATTGACCATCGGATATTTGGTGACAACGATCTGTGGGTAGGCCGAGATCCGGATTTTCGTTCTATTGCAGATGCTTCTTTTGCCATCCTTCGGAATGCAACGCAAGACATGCTTATATATCAGGCCATCGTCGGTCGCGCTCACGTTAGTTTTATTGTGAGGTACGATCGTTGCTGTTGTCTCTCACATGCGACCCCACGCACGATATTTCTCTCTTGCATCAGGTGGCGATTCGTCGAGGTCGGCATATATGCCTTATCCCTTGATTATGAGGCAGGAGGCGTGGGTCGCACTTTATTCGATGATCGCTTCCTCAAACTAGACTGCGAACCTCAAACCATTACGTTCATGATTTAGTGAGGTTGTTCACAGCAGCCAGTAGGATAGCCACTGATCTTCTCCCCAGCTCTATACCCGCTCTCTCAATGCCACGGGGAGCGTCACACAGACTTCGGTTCTGGCTAGCGCACCCCACACGCTCCCCTTTCACCCTCTTCCTCGGTATCCTCTCAAGTGACCGAATCTTACATCTACCAGCGGCTATGGAAAACAGATGATTTCAAAATAGGTGCCTACCTCGACTTCGACGCTCTTGGCTCAAAACTCATCATGGCCGTGCGGGACCCAAACTCACCACAAAGCGAACGTGACCAGCCTCACCGTAACCGGAGTATACGCCGGCTGTCCCGTCTTCCCATGCCTAATTCAGATGCCTCAGGAGATCCAGTACATGACCGATAGTTACGCCCTTTGCACATTGTACTTCCTGGACACGGCGACTGGTATTCCATATACTTCACAGGCCACTCTCTGCTGCAGGAAAAGATTTTATAGTTGACGCCTACGTTACAGTTCTGGTGTCTTGATTTATGCAAGAATTATCAGAATACAAGAAACGAGAAAGTAGCGATGTGTACGAGAAGAAGAAAAGGCCAGAGTCCCAAGACGAATTGAAGAGAAAAGTCGGGGCTATAATATTTTCCACGTAGAGGTACCTGCGTCATCCACTTTCATTAGGGTGTCTGTTTCTGCAGCGCTTTATCCTGGAGCCTGTAAAATGATATGAATAAACCAGTGAAAGGGTGCCTAGCGGAAGTACGATATCTCCACAGCGGGCTCAAACGGATGTCCTGGAACTTGCATAGCTCCACAGTTGTCGCCATATGAGCTCTCTCTTGAGGCACCCGGGGGCTTGCAGCTTCATGCCGTTTCACTGAGTGGTGACGGCATTCGTAGCAGGCACAGCGTGTTCACTAAAACCACGTTGGGCAGACTTCATAGGCGGGGTAAATTCGGGTTGGCGATCGTGATGCTTTGATGTCGTCAAAGACAAGCCGGGTATCGCACTTTCATCATCATCGCGAGAAACCTCAGTCCTGATAGACGAGCCGGACCAGTAGGATCAGTGAACTTCTACACCGAGAAACGCGAGACAAACCGTCGCCTCTTATTCGGCATATCCGGTGATTCGCTGCTTGGCTTGCCCGACGCCTTCATATTATTCGGTAAGTGGCAATCAATACTAACAGTGAACCGTTAAGGTCAAAAGTGCGAACACGCACCCTGCTGGTTAGTGGCCGCTTGGGAGGCCGCTTCGGTTGCCGCTCGGCTGCATCGAATACGTATTCTGGAAGCCCCGAGCTAAAGATGAGGATTCATGAGAGTGGGTTGTCTATTAGCTACGCCTACAATCCTTACCTCTTCATGTATCGCACGGATATCCCCATTGTGTCTTCATCGTATTTCTCCCACATCTTCACGAGCTTTATAAACTCTGTAGTAGGGTATGAAATGTCCAGTTTGCGAGGTCCGGTGACGCCGCCTTCCCGCCCGACGAGTGAGGAGAAAAATCAAGGAACGAAGAGGTTGACGAGAACAAAAACGCACTTGGTTTTGGCTGGATGTGGAGACCGATGAAAAAAGTGGTTGAATAAACGGTTTTGCTGTCTGGGTTGCCCTCTGTGCTGGCCACGTTTCTCTTCGCAATAGCTTCGGATATTTGGCCGTCGATGACTTGATTCATTTCATCTTGAGATAAGCAGTACGAAATTTGGTCGAAACCCTTGATGAACGGGTGTGCACAGATGAGTGTGTCCACAAACTCGAGTTTCATCACAAGCTGGCGTAGCCGGGATTCGACTGTCCCTGCCCTGCAAATGATATATATACAGAACCTTCATTGAAACTCAACCCTTACCATTTGATTTGGAGGTCGGGGTCTCCGGTGGATGCGACTATCTGCAAGTAATATCGGTATTTATGGAAGAAATCGTGCTTGGCAAATAGATCTGCCCAAGTCGCAGTTCCGACGATGATTTTGTCAACGATATCGGCACCTTGGTGTGTTAAGCCCATGGAAATGAGTTAACTATGATCATGCATAAGAATACCTTTCTTGAACTCTTCAGTCAGAATCATTTGCGTTGAAGCTGTAACGTTGTGAGTAGCACACATAGCAGGGTATGCAGGAGTAATAATTGGCATCCTATGCGCCCGATCCGCTGGGTACAACTGACGGCGATCGTTAACTGAAAAGACACTATGCACTGATTCAAGCACGTACTTTTGGGTTCCACACACGAACAGGTAGTGGACCTTCCTCGATCTGCTTCAAGAGCACAGGCTGAGGCCACGTCCTGCCTATGGGTTAGACAATGACATCGATCTGATCGAAAAGGATCTTACCATTGGTACATAATGATAAAGAATCTGCTAACAATAGCTCCGGCGGTAGCATTCGGGTACAGTTGACATATACGAGCTACAAGGATAGCCCAGGCTACACCGCCGAAAAAGCCATTGACATTCGAGTAAATAGCCCTTCCTGTTGACAAATTTGAGATAGAAATCAGCATAGCGAAAACCGTTTACATACGCTGCGCCCATAGCTTGATACACCGCAATGAATCACGATAAACTTCAGGGTTAGGGACCAATCGCAAAATCTCGTCATTCACTCGTGAACCTAGGCTCACATCAGCTAGTTGTAGATTAATCACTGTAAAAAACGTGCCATTAAGACTTCGTACGCATCTTTCATCAAGATTACGCAGCAAATTGTCGTCCTTTAGAGAGAGATCATCCGGTATCGAAGACAAGGCCAGGCGAGCCATTAAGAAATCCATCGGAATACCACATATCTTTGTCTTGACGATAGGCACATAGGCCTCAGGAACACCCTAAAAATCCACCATGGTCGCCAAAAACCGATAGTGTACCAGCAGTTCAACTCACCGACACCTCCGCAACACCTTCCATGTTCCGCAACAGATCCTCGAACACTTCGAAGAAATCCTCTCGGGAGACGTGTTTGGGTACTACGCACAAAGTATCTATATCGGACCCAGGTCCATGAACACCCAGTCGATACGAGCCAAACGTAAAGATTTTGCCACCAGCAGTGCTCGCGGCTGCCTCCGAGAGTCCATGTTTGAGCGAGACTTGATACACAAACTTTTTGACCAAAGCAGCGACGCGTCCCAGTACCATTTCCCTATACAAAATTTAGTCATCCGTGCTGGTCCAACCATGCGTACACGCTTTGAAATGGATGGCCATTTCGCACTCCCCAGGGCTTGTTCCAACCAGCATGGGTATTTGCTGGGAGAGAGATCCGGACCTCCATTCCAGAGCATGGTGTACACTTCAATGATCGGTCCTACCTCGTTCGAGCTTCCTCAACACTTTCGAATGTTCCCTGTCTCCGTAGTTCTTCCATTAAGGTGCCCGTCACCTCCTTTTCCCGTTCACTGGACTCAGCTGTTGAGATTGGGGGTGTAACGCCCAAATAGCTGAAAATCTGTTAGCTAACGCCAATGAGGGCCCGTCAAGTCCATTACCCTTTCTCAGTCGTCATTTTTTCCCTGGTGAAAAGAAAAGCGAGGACAGCGGATAAGTAAGTGACGAACCCAAGTGCGTAGTGGCAACGTTTCGAGCTCGTTCAGATTGACTTGCCACAATTATTAGTCAGCAAATGTAGTAACATTTCTAAATTAGGAAATCCCCTGCTACCTAATACATCCGCAATATGGTATGCAGACGAGTATTGTACAGGATATGAATCAGAATAGACGTCAAATGGAGCCAGTATAGCGTGCAGAAATCACTACAAAAGACACGACAGTGCAAGGCCAGAAGCATAAATAGAATGTCTGCGAGATAGGGTATCACAGGTGCACAGAGCCTGTCCAGAGAGCCTTGAATTTGGAGCTAGAATCGTTCCTTGTTCCGAGCGTATCCAGAATATTGTCCATTTGAATTGACGAGTTTTCTCGCTTCGGCACTTTTTACTGCCCATTTGCGCACAAACCAGGCCAAGACAGCAACAGCAATGACGGCCGCAATAGAACCCAATATGATGCCGACAGTGGTACCTGTACTCAAGTGTGAAGACGAGGGAGTTGACGACGACGACGTGCTGGGATTTCCCCCAAATGGCCAGTAGTCTCCGCCGTCAGGGGGAAGCACACAGGTCAAACTGTCCCCATCAGCAACTGGCGTAAAGTTCGACTGTGTGGTCGACTGTGTTGTCGTGTTCAGATCGATGACAAAAGGGGCCGGAGAGGGCGTGGGATCGTTCGCTGTACAGTTTGGCCCTCGAGCACCTATAAACGACGTGTTCCCAATGAGAACGTTATTTTCGACGGTGAAGTTCTTTGCAGACGTCATGGCAATACCGTAGCTGAACGCTCCGGTAAGTTGGTTCCCCAGAACCGTCCCTCCTTGGCTCACGTTGTTACCGTACTCGTTTCCAAACCAAGTCCGTGGCCCAATGGCAATCCCAATTCTGATGGAGGTAGGTCAACTGACCTGGAAGACAGACAAGATAAACGTGACACACTTGATGATGACATCTTCATTATTCGTACCCTTCGTCTGCGATCCCGAAGGTGTTCCGTCGGCGAATCCACCAACAATCGTGTTGTTCGTCACGACCACGCCACTGTAATTTCCACTGAAGGGATTGTAGTCAACCATATTAATACCACCCAGTAATGTGTTCTAGATTTATCAAGGCACGGTTATTCGGCGCTGAGTAGATATTTAGCCCGACGACGTACCGTTTCCACCCAAATCGTATTGTTTTCCACACGTGTCCCGGGAGAACCAAACAACACGATGCCCCCGTCGGTAGGGTTGTTAATCATGTTGTTTCTAACAAGGCTGTTGCGACAGGAAACCGAAATACCGTCGGCCCATTGCTGAAAGAGGTCCGAACCAGCTGGACCGATATCATTGTTTTGGACGGTCGCATTAGTGCAATTTAGGTTTCCCTCGGCAACGTGGAGGCACGACCAACTGCGCGGGTCAAAGGAGTGAACGTACTCGATGACCTGGTTCGCGTTGGAACCACCCATCTCGATGTTCGCTCCCCCATTAATAGGTGGTGCGCCAAGCCTTGTGCCATTGATCTATATCATCACGTTTCCGTTCCCTGTGAGAAAACCATACGTCAAGCCAAGACATAGCCTCACCTGAACGTTGCGTAGCGTGACGCCGTCACAATTCGCACATGTCCCGTCTACAGCAGTACTGTGGCCAGTGCCGTTACTGAACACAGGTCCATTGACGACCAGAGTCGCCCTGTCACTTCCGGTGGGATATCCTTGAGTACTGATCTCTTGGTTTGGCGAGGTGAAGAGAAGAGGCGCCGTGATTGGGTATTGTTGACCCGGACAGAGACTAAGGATATAACCAGACCCAGAAGAACTGAGCATCTGGTTCAAACGTGTCGTAAGATTGCTTGTAGGGTCCGGGGAGATGCAACTGGAGGTGCCCGCCCTGCGCTGATAAGAAGAGTCCGATCTACGGTGCGTTAACATCAACACCTGAGATGTTAGCTACAAACAAAAGGACGATTTGACCTTACCTATGAAGAAATCTATGGTCCATGGTTTACCGAAAGCGAATACCTAATGAACGGGAGGCGCAGTGCCGGGAAATGCCAATAGTATGTCCTGGAGTACAAAGAATTGCGAATGAACGACAACAGTGCGAGTTCTCGACGTCAGACAGAAAGCAAAACAAGAGGCCTGCGCAGGTCGCAGGACCTGCTAAAGAAAAAGGTGTGTGGAGCGAACGGAAGAAAGCGACAGCCCGCCAAGCTGAAGAGCTATTATCTAGGGATGCCTTAGGTAAGCATGACGATAGGCTTCTCGGGTGGCCTACTCAAGGCACAGGTGGCGGTGGGAAATGGCAGGGTTGTCTGTGCATGCGACCAACAGTGAGCAGGCCAAGACAAACTTGCAGTGATGGGTGAGTGGACCGCGCGCTGAGACGAACGTCTGTCCTCAATGCTTTTTAGACTCGTCCGTATCAAAGCAGCTTGTGGACAAGATCTATGAAAAGCGCAAAGCTGCTGCACTTGATCTCGAGAAGTAGCAATTCATGGTTCATAGCCGTGTATATCTACCCACCATACTGTATAGGCAGGTCCGGGAATGCCATCAACAAGGGGACCACCGTCGAATCAGTCAGATTATCGACCAGTTGGTCGACATGTTCAGCAATTCGTCTAACCCGCTCCACATTCGAAATGGCGGTCTAATTGGTCTCGCTGGAACCGCCATTGCACTCGGTGTTGACGTTGCACCGTACATGGACAAATTCATCGAACCGGTGCTTGCTTGTTTCACAGACCCCGAGAATAGGATTCGTTACTTTTCCGCCGAGTGCCTGTACAACATAGCTAAAGTATCCAAGGGGGAGGTGCTGGTCTACTTCAATCCTATTTTCGACGCCCTTAGCAAGGTGCTTTAACCAGTCTGTCGTCCTGTCCCGGCTAACTTGAAACGGCGTGTAGCTCGCTGCAGACTCAGAGATGTCTGTTAAAAACGGCGCGGAACTCCTGGACCGTCTGTTAAAAGATATCGTTGCGGAAACTGCTTCCATTTACGTTCCACAGTATGCTGAAACAGAGCAAGTCCGAGACCGGTCTGATCCACTGGACCGAAGCATACTAGTGCCATTCCCCCCCGACCACCCCGCAGCACTTACTCCGAAGAAAGCGTTTTCACTCTCCCGTTTTATTCCTTTGCTCAAAGAACGAGTTCATGTTGTCAGCCCATTCACGCGAAGCTACCTTGTTTCTTGGATTACAGTGCTAGACTCGGTTCCTGAGTTGGAGCTGATTTCGTATCTGCCCGAGTTTCTGGACGGTCTTTTGTGAGTAAGTGGACGGGCGATTTCACTTGGTGACTGAGGTACCCCCAAACCACAGGAAGTATTTATCAGACCCAACAGAGGATGTGCGAGTAGCAACAGAAAACCTTCTCGCTGACTTCCTTCGCGAGATCCGTGACGTCAGCGAGCTTCGGCGCCGCCACGAGGAACGCGCTGGAACAGGGGATAGTCACGGAGCGGACGGGAGCCAGCCCAGTTCGGAGCGTGCCGTGATAACCCCCGAGAGCGGCTTTATGTCAGATCAGGAATACAGCGAGCACATGGCTGACGAAGGAGACAATCGGCACACAGGAGGTGGGGGCTTTTTAGTCTTCTGTCGTAAGAATTTGTCTTACTCGGCATAGCTTGGGTTCCCGGTCAAGGGGTTCGGATAGACTATGATGCTATCATTGAAATCTTCATTCAGCAATTAGATGGACAGCGTGCGCGTCGCCTCATTTCTTATTGCGTTGCAGCTGACTAGTCGTCCTGTTAGACGACGAAATTCAGCAATCTACATCCCTTCACTGGTTGGCAGAGTTCCTAGGTTTCGCACAAGACGTTATGGTTCCTTTCACTCCGCGCTTCATTCCCGCGATTTTACCGAATCTGGCACATCACGTTCCCATGATCCAGTCAGCTGCTACAAGGACCAACAGATTGCTATTCAAAGTGATTCAAGACTTGCCAACGCCAGTTGACCTCCCTTCGCAGCAATCCACAGCCGACAAGGTGTCCACGTCGGGTCGAGCGTTCCCTGCCTCCCCAACACCACCAGCCACCACTCTACCCTTGCGACAAGGTACTGTTGCAGCTGCACCAGTCGGCGAAGTAAATGTACCCGAAGTCATGCCTGATGGTCAACTGCCACTGCCTCCATCCCAAAGACCGCGAACGAGTACCTCCCAGCAACCTGCAGGGGAAGTGCCTAGTCGACCCCAATCTCGTATGTCCTCGAATAGCTTGGTAGCAGCGCCCTCTGCGGCAGCCGCAGCGCCACCGTCGCCCGTGCTTGAAGAAGACAGTAGCGGCGATTTGTTTGATTACCAAGCCACTGTAAATGAACTGACGATACAATTTCTGAGTGAGCACGAACAAACCAGGGTGGCCGCGCTAAGGTGGCTTATTATGCTACATCAGAAGGCACCCAAGAAGGTACTGCTTGACACCGCCCAAACCCGAGGAAGCGCTCATTCTCTCCTAGATTCTGGCCATGGACGATGGCACCTTTCCAGCGCTTCTCAAGACTTTGTCGGATCCTTCAGAAGAAGTAATCAAGCATGATCTACAGCTACTCGCGCAGATATCGTCTAGCTCAGAGGAGAGCTATTTCAAGGTCTTCATGATGAACCTCCTTGAATTATTCAGTACAGATCGTAAACTACTGGAAGCACGCGGGAGTCTGATTATCCGGCAACTGTGCTTGAACCTGAACACGGAACGGATATATAGGACGTTTGCAGAGATATTGGAGAAGGAGGAGGTAGGCGTGCAACCGCACTGTCCAAGTTTAGTCATCTGATTGTGTTGACAGGACCTGGAGTTTGCGAGCGATATTGTACAAAAGCTGAATACAATTTTGATCACTTCTCCCGAGCTTGCCGAGTTCAGGAGAAGACTGAAAAGCTTGGACACGCGGGTAGGTGTTCTTTCCTTTTTGGAGTTCAGTTTGGTGTTGACTGCAGTGTAACTCTAGCAAGATGGACAAGCGTTATTTGTGACGCTATACCGCTCGTGGTGCCATAACGCTGTCTCGGTTTTCTCATTGTGTCTCCTGGCGCAAGCGTACGAACACGCCTCAAATCTCCTCTCCATATTGTGAGACCTGCATGTGACTGTTGTTGAGATGAGTGCTCAATTCTGTCTTAGCGCGGATCTAGAGATCACGGTTGCAATGCTGGTGCAGATTGACAAACTTGTTCAATTGATTCGAATCCCCTGTATTCACATGTACGTCCCGATTTTTTTGGTGCGTATCCCGGTAGTAATCTTGAATTTTCAAGACCTACGGCTACAACTCCTCGAGCCTGAACGATATCCCTACCTCTTCAAGTGCCTGTACGGGCTTTTAATGCTCCTCCCCCAGAGTACCGCCTTTGTGTCACTCCGAAATCGGCTTAATGCGGTCAATTCTGCTGGTTTCCTTCATATAGCTCCTAAATCGTGAGTATTGACCCTTTCGCAGGATGAACCCCTCTTGACGATTTGTATTCCAGAACCGTCAATCCGCTTGCCGCTCGATCCAAGCTCGGGCGGGATGAGATTAAATGGCAAGAACTACTCGGCCACTTCCGTGCTGTACAATCCAGACATGAAAAGGCGCGTCGACAAGCCCTTGGTACAGACGTGTCAGCTTTCGGTGGCCCCGGGTTTAGCGACAACAGATCATCGGAACCCGCACGCTCAGGATTAGGAATTGGTAATCCGGACCCAACCCGCCCACCTATGCGGCGACGCGTCACCGGAGATGTTATGCCGCCTGGTCCTCCGCGGCCTGCGCTGTCACCACTTAACCCGCGAGCAAAACAGAACGGGTTGCTGAGCTCGGCATTGATGGGGCAAGCAATGCCACCGACGTCGTCCCCAGCAAACGCAATAAGTGGCGCTCTATCGCTGCAGCAGAGGCAGCGACGGACGCTAGGTCTTGGGCCTCGGAAGTGAAGCACGTCTTGGCATGTCCGGTACTTGCGAAGTAGGCTCCTGTTACGTTTCGAGAGGCAGTTAACCTTCACGACACTCATGATTGGATCGTCGATACCGATACGTTTGCACTGATATCTCTACTATGTATCCTGATGGATAGGGCATCAGTGTAACCTGAGCGCTGCCGTAACACTGTCTTCGATGTGAAACCCATCAGGATCGCCCAGGTCAACGAGTATGCCTCCAGGTCCAGAGTTTAAAGCATAAACAGCCTCATGCTACGCGTTGCCTTGCATTTCGTACGCGCGCTAATAGAAGCACACTTGAATTCCCATTTTACTCTAGGCTCCGAACCGCTGCTTTCTGCTTCCGATCAGTTCGACCAATGTTCATCAGAAAATAGTTTGGAGGCAGCCCATCCGGAGTGACGATCCTCGACTCCTTTCAGGACAGTTTTACCGACAGTACTCCTCCAGTGTTTCTCATGAACATGTGCGTAGGAGCAAACCGGGAGAGCCCAAGAGGTATGTGGCTTTCCATGGTAGCTACTTGTCAACTAGTTCGTTGAATTTCTGACTGTATGCCCCCCGGCCGATCCACGAAGTGCAGCTTAGGCAGCTCCGTTTGCCACAACCGATGGGCTGTTGCTGCCGACGATTCAAACCATCGAGCGCAATGCGAATTTCGGCGTGAAGCTGGGTCCTGAAGGAGCTATTCAAACGCTACACCTCCGTGTCCAGGAACTTGCACTGAACACCGACGATGGTTAGTGCCATCCGGGGAATAACACTTTGCATGCTTGATCAGGCTATGGATAACGTCATAATACCGGGAAACCTTAGTGAGACGGGGTTTCAGTTTCTAGTCGAGGTGCATACGATTGGCCACATCGCGGAGCGAACGTGGAAAACGAGATCTTCTGAGAACGAGGGCGAGTAAGTAAGTTTCAAGTAGAAGTCCGTTGCTGTCAAAGGATCATGTATCGTTTGCGCGGATGAGGTTTCATACTTCAGTTTGTGCCCTTCAGAGCCAGGAAACTCTTCGCCCATCCTTCTCGCGAACCTCTTTTTTTTAGGTCAGAGAAACGAAGTTCGAGAGAAGGTGTGTGAGGGGTTGTAGTCCAATAGGACTTCCTGAATGCCACGCGAGACACGGCCTCATGTATCTTCGTGGTCTGTTTCTCGATGTTTTTCCTGAAACGTGGAAACAGGAAAGGCAAAACATCACACACATCTCCGGTCTCGGGAGAGATGATCACCTCGAACAAGTCACGAACAGCCTGATAGTCTTCATAGGTGACATCGTCGTTCTTTGCTAAGACAAGCATGAGACCCCCGCGGCTGTCGAACGCCGCAGCGATGGCCTCTCCGGGCTTGCCGATCGTCAGTGCGATCACAATGGTGTCGTGGTCCTGCTTTCTGTATTGCTGGTTAATACCTTCGTAGGGCAACTGGAGGTTGGGGTAGCCGAAGATATTGACCGAGCAACCGAAGTTGCTCCAGAAGACGGACTTGGTCGTCCAAGTTAGCTTCTATATGGAGCATTTCGAAGTCAGCTTTTATAGGGAGTGTTAGTCTCCCGAAAGACTCGAGGGAAGACGACTGATCGTTCCCTTGGTCAGTGTCACCAGAGCTTTAACAGCAAGGATCGAATAACTTTGAACGAACGACCGCCAAGGTCCTGGAGCTCTTTCCGTCCTCGGAATGACAGTGCGAGGTATGCATAAAATATTGCATGGAAGTGTATGTATGTACAGTGGTTGGATGAACCCGGATATATATACCAAGAGCGTGGAATAGTACTAGTGCAACTATGGTGGAGATGCTCGCGTTTTAGTCTTCATGCGTTCAGCGCGTCGCGCCGACAGTGTTAAATCCGGGATCGAGGGGATACGACAAGGGTAGTTCGTATCCTCGAAATGTCCTCCTCCGTTAGCCCGCAGTACTTCTTCACATATTCTTCTACTCCTCCGTACACTCGCTCGAGGAGCTCCAAGAATGCTGACATGGTCGAGTACCTGTCTAGCGGGTCAACCAGACGAAAACCACGCGGATGGTGTGCGTACCGTGACGTAAGCATGCGCAATGCGGCGTCAGTGTTGTCGGCGAACAAGGGTTCTGTAGACAGTCGCCTGATCACTTTTTCTCGATCAGGTTCTCGTCCTATACGGGTTAGGGAGTAATCATGACATATGTAATGATCCTCTACGCTTGCAAGCTATATGATTGTGGAGCTGGGGATTAGTATGGAGAACGGTACTCCTACCTTCAAGAGGATAGCCGCCATGATGCCAGTCCGATCCTTGCCGGCTATACAGGATGTGAGATAGTGGAGCTTGTTACCATTGTATAAGCGCACCTGTGCAGTGAAATAGGAATGGTGAGTTTGGCTTGTCCCTCACATGCCTGAGGATGGTACCGAAGGCCGTGCCCCCATGCTCGAGTATTTGAGTGTATAGTTGCATGAAAGCCTGGCATGGATTTTATGTATGCCACTCAAGGCGTATACACAAACCACGTCTCACCTCAGTCGTTCCGCTTGCGTACAACTCGAATTTCCTGTCGAGGGTAAACATATGTGTATATGCAAGGGTCGGGGTGTTGGGTGTGGCGCACGTACGCACTTAGCCATGCTTTCCGGACTATAATCTTCGTTTCTAAATACCGGTGTACGTATTATGTGTACGCCTTCAATGGTGGGTATCGGAGTGCTGTACTTCTTCATTTCGGGATCCGACCTAAGATCAAATACAGTAGTTATGCGAAGCGCCCTCATTTGTTCCTCCCCTACGAAGACAGTCTTTAGAATTATCTTCTCATGAATCCATTTGCGCACCTTCTGTGGTTACATTTGAAACCTCAGCTGCTCGGAACGCATAACCTGGCTTCGTCATGCCGTTCGGCATGGTGGTAGGGTATGACCCCAAGTCGCGAACATTGGACACACCGGGAACGGATACAAAAGGCGGGTTGGATATCACTTGAGCGACATAAGCAGGGTCCAAAGGCTTGAGCCCGTCGTCCGACATGGCACTCGTCCTGATAAGACCTCGGCGAGCCTCGAAAAGGGGACATGTATCTAATCACGTGACTTATATATGTGCTTAGGGCAGGTCGTCTCGTGTCATCTGCCTCGTCGCGACGCGATCGTCCTTTAATCGCTCATCAATGGACTTCGACGGGCTGTCGTCACCACCAGCACCCCATTTATCACTGCCATCGAGCAGCGCACCAGAGCCAACGCCGTCATCAAATGGGACGCCAAGATCAGCCCAAAGACGCCCGGTGTCAGATGCATTAGCTTTTGCTGATGATACGGCCCAGGGCGGTGAAAATGCAGACGAATCGGGTGGGAGGCGCAGAAGGAAAGCGAGAAACCAGCCTGGTGGTGAGGTCACAATGGTTCGAGATGCCGTCGGTGAAAGTGTCTGCGAAAGCTTCGAAACATTTTTAAAGACGTGAGTGGTATAAGTACTTCTCACAATATCTCTGTGACTGAGCGGGAGCTTTGATCAGCTTCACCGAGGATGTCGCCCTCCCATCTACTCCTGGATCCGATGGGGGTCTTCCAGAGTTCACGGACGGCGAACTCATCTATACCCAGCAAATTCACACCATGCGTGAATACGAAATTTCAACGCTGTATGTGGATTACAGCCATATCCTCCAAAAAGACGATGTTCTGGCGGACGCAATTAAGAAACAGTACTACCGATTCCTACCATACCTGCGCCGCGCGGTTCACAATCTCGTCGCCGAGTACGAGCCAGAATATCTCAAGGTTAACCCAACCGCAGCCACAACCGACTCCGTAAATCTTCAAACCCGCGAATTCAGCATAGCATTTTATCATTTACCTTTGGTATCGGGCATTCGTGAGCTGCGCACAGACAAAATTGGTACTTTGATGAGTATCAGCGGAACCGTCACGCGGACCAGCGAAGTGCGACCGGAACTACTATACGGCAGCTTCATCTGCGAGGTTTGTGGAGGTCTGATCAATGAGATTGAGCAACAATTTAAATATACCGAGGTATGGCGTCGATCCCTGTCTATCATCGGTGTCCGGCTAAACTCACAAAATCTAGCCAAGTTTGTGCCCAAACCCAACTTGCGGAAACCGTGTCGCATGGCAATTGCAAATCGATACCTCCAAATTCACTGACTGGCAAAAAGTTCGCATTCAGGAAAACCCATCCGAGATACCAACAGGTTCCATGCCACGTTCTCTGGACGTTATCTTGCGCGGCGAGATGGTGGAACGCGCGAAAGCAGGTGACAAATGCGTGTTTACCGGAACATTCATCGTCGTACCAGATGTCGGTCAACTCAGCTTGCCCGGAGGAGAAAAGCCCCAGCTGTCGCGTGAAACAAGCAGGGCAAATGCTGCAGCCGGGGGAATCACCAGCGGTGTCACTGGGCTAAAGAGTCTGGGTGTTCGAGATCTCCAATACAAGACGGCGTTCTTAGCCTGTATGGTACATAATGCTGACGGTAGGGTAAGTGCGTGTAAATGTGTAGTGCACATCACTCTTCTGACATCTGATAGGGAGGAACGAATATCCGGGGTGAAGAAGACGAACGCGAGGATGACGGACAAGCATTCCTCAGGTCCCTGACCGAACCTGAATTTGACGAACTCAAAAGCATGATTGATTCAGATCATATCTATTCCCGCCTAGTCGAGAGTATTGCGCCGACAGTATACGGCCACGAGATAGTGAAGAAGGGTTTACTATTGCAATTGATGGGTGGTGTTCACAAGCAGACTGCTGAAGGCATGCATCTCCGTGGTGATATCAACATCTGCGTCGTCGGTGATCCTTCAACCTCGAAGTCTCAGTTCCTCAAGTCCGTTCGTTCCGATTCTTGGAACTTCTGGCGCTAATATTCCTTCAGATATATTTGCTCGTTCTTGCCCCGTGCTGTCTATACGTCTGGCAAAGCTTCCTCGGCCGCTGGTTTAACTGCAGCAGTAGTTAAAGATGAAGAGACCGGTGACTTCACAATCGAAGCTGGTGCACTCATGCTTGCCGACAACGGTATCTGCGCTATCGATGAATTCGATAAAATGGACATCTCCGACCAGGTCGCCATTCACGAAGCGATGGAACAGCAAACGATTTCTATTGCCAAAGCGGGAATCCATGCAACGCTTAATGCGCGGACGTCGATCTTAGCGGCCGCAAATCCTATCGGGGGGCGGTATGACCGAAAGAAGACCCTGAGGGCCAATGTTGCCATGAGTGCACCGATCATGAGTCGTTTCGACTTGTTCTTCGTGGTTCTCGACGAGTGCGACGAGAAGACAGATCTGAATATTGCCAAGCACATTGTCAACGTACATCGCTTCCAGGACGAGGCTATTAACCCGGAGTTTAGTACGGAAGCTTTGCAGCGTTACATTAGATATGCGAGGACCTTCAGCCCGAAGGTAACGTCACCTACACTCCGCGTTGAGGCTTGCACTCACCTGTCGTCAGCTTACCCCTGAAGCGGCGGACGTCCTTGTGGAAAAGTATCGCATACTGCGGCAGGACGATACTTCCGGTGCTTCTAGGAACTCGTACCGCATCACTGTCCGGCAACTCGAGAGCATGATTCGTCTCAGTGAAGCCATTGCTCGTGCAAACTGCACTGCCGAAATTACCCCAGTGTTTGTACGCGAGGCGTACAGTCTCCTCCGTCAATCCATCATCCACGTTGAACAGGATGACATCGACTTTGACGAAGAGGAACTGGAGGGGGCTCGAGAAAATAATGATAATGTCGCATCTGCCGGCCGGAATGCTGAGGAGAGCCAAGACGTCCAAATGTCGGATGCAACTGATCAATTGGATGGAAGTGCCTTAGCTCTAAACCGCATTGCGACAAGCAGCGGGGACGGACCGTCTTCCACATCTCGGTTGGGAAGTATGGTTCCGGAGGCTTCTGCTTCTGCTCCACCCAAGAGACGCATGGTCATTACGCACGACAAGTACATGACATTGCAAAGTATGATCGTCCTGCACTTGACTGCTACGGAGCATGAGACTGGAAGAGGGATTGACAAAGATGAGTTAATTGATTGGTATTTGGAATTGAAGGAGTCAGAGATGAGGGACGTCGAAGAATTGGAGTATGAGAAGGAACTCATCACCAAAGTATTGCGAAAACTTGTTAAGGTGAGGCTAACTTCCCGTTCCTCAGCATTGCATTAGGTCTGAATGCGTCGTAGGACAACTACTTGATTGAAGTCCGCGGAGACGTTCAAGAGTCATTGCCAGAATCTGTTGGAGATTCGACAGACCTTTCCCTGCCGCAAGATGGAGAGAACGTGCGCATATACTACATGGTACATCCCTCGGTGGACACAGAGAACTCTTCTTCATACCCGTGACAATACCAATAGTTCTGCTTGTATCTCCTGCATGTTATCCACCTTCGTTGTTGTATCTGTACCATGCCCTGTGTTACACTCGTTGAAGAATTCCAGCTCTACAGCGTGGTAGTGTTGGACCTGTATAGGTTTCCTAATAGAATTGCTACTATAGGCTAATGCTTACTATTGAGATAACTACTAGATTTGACCTGCATGGCTGGTGTCCTTATATTCGCATCATAGGGGGGTACATGTATCTATATCACAATGCGGCAAGGATATGGGTATATACAGGCCCAAAATTCAATTATTATGGCTTGGCATTAAGTGGCGAGACTTGATCACAGCGGTCAATGCAATCCAGGAGTACGTCAAAGAATCGTTCTACCTATGAAGTAACTAAGCGTCAGTAAATCGTTCATTAATAATTGATCCGCGAACCTCCAGGGATTCCAATACCAGACAGTTCTTGCCTGTTGCACCCCAAGTATCGTCACACCGCTGGTAATCCCATATGTCGGCAACCGTCTCTCCTGTGGTGTGTCGGCCGTAGAGCTCCACATCTACGCGGTATCGCTTGCTCTTAAATAGGTTGGGATTGGAAACATAGGCCACGGTAAGTGCGTCATGAAGGGGTGGGCCATCGTCGAAACCGTAGACTTCCCTGTACGTGTGCGCAAAGAAGGTGATCAGGGAAGACAACATTGATCTGAGACCAGTCGGCGGGACTGTGACGTCGTTTTTGCCAGCTTCTTGGGCTACCGTCGCTGCACACAAGCGTTTATGAACGGAATCCGTTACTACGGCTGTGTGGGTTACATTAAGAGGAACCATGACTGTCTTCACTGGGCAGTTGAGAACTACCTGGGCGGCTTCGGCTGGAGTGGGGTATCAATGATTGGAACAGATTTAAGCGTATATGCAGCTCACGGTCACACATGATGTTAAACTCTACGAAAAGTGAGGAATAAGCGGACAGCCGGAAAGCCGGCAAGATGTTGATCGACCTACCTGCCGCCGGGGTGACATTCCCGAGACCGATGCCCCCACCCATGAAAACGAAGTGCTCGACGGCTTCCAGAAGGTCGGGATGTGTGAGGATAAAGAGGGCGATGTTGGTCAATGGGCCAGAAGAGACCACCGAAACCTTATGTCCGGCGCCATTTTTCCAAGTTTCTTTGATCGCCGTGACCATACCCTCGGGGGCAGATATGGCAGTCCCATCTTCGCGAACAGCAAAGCGCGCTTGGGCCTCGGGGCTGTCTGGCGGGGGAAGGCCGACGACACCACCAAGACCGTCCTCGCCATGGATGTTTGGTGCATATCGTGCTTCCCTCGTCAATGGTTTCACGGCACCTGGATAGACCTTGATATCGTCGGGTGCATTGAAGGCGTAAAGGGCTCTTGCTGCATTGACACCGGTCCAATAAGCAGAAGAGTTTCCATGGACCTACGATGTCCTTTAACAAACTTTATCAATGGCGGGACAAGGCAAAGCTGCTCACTGTCGAAATTCCCAGGAGCTTGATGTTGTCGAGGTAGACAGCTAGTAAAATGGCTGTTACGTCGTCGTGCCCCTTGGCGCCTCAATGTCAGATGTGTTTTTCTCAGGATCGATGCAAGATCTACCGGTTGACTCACTGGATCAGCGTCCAACCAGACGTACTGCATGTTCGTAGTGGTTTCGGAGATGTTAACCGAATAAGAATCTTAAGCTGGCATGCAATTCTGGGGAACGACGATCGATTCGCTGATTAGGGCTTTCGGACTCGTAAGTGGCGATCGCCGTACGGCCAGACGTGCGACATGGCTTGTAGGTCGGTGCTGAGACGTGCTACTTAAAAGTTCAAAGCTGAAGTTCGGCGTCACGTACTATCGATCTCTTGTAACGTGCACACGGGATCTCAAAAAGATGTCAATACTACAAACTGTAGATCACCTCAGTGGTCGAGCATAAAAGTGCACATGCACTACATGAAGGCCCCGTGAATTCACATCTGCACGCCGTGATGCGCTGTCGTCGCTGGCTGTTGCGGTTAAATACCTAGCGAAGTGTTTGCTTGGCCTTGTTTGACGATACCTTCTGAACTCAACACGGACAAACAAACGCTCCTCTATCGCGATGTCAAGTCTGCACACAAATGTGATTACCAGGCCCGAAGAAGAGGAGCTACCTCAGCCTCAGAGACCACCAACCCCACCAGTCTATACAACGTTCGCCGCTAGGGGGCTCCACGTGTGTATTGTTCTTTGTGCCACTCCGTATCTTATTTAGTTTCCTTGCAGGCTCAAAACTTCCCCGCACATAAGCCTCGAGATCTCCGAATCCCATCACCACAGGCAATCACCCATGTAGCATGGAGTTGCGATGGGAAGCGTCTAGCTGCCGTGGGCATAGACAAGATCACTAGATTGTGGACGCCAGAAACAAGCGTGAGGTCAATATCGTCGTGCTCGATCACCTCGCGTGACAACGTCTCGTAGATGGAGTTCAGATCAGCGACGAACTTCTCGGGTGGTCACTCGGACGAAGTTGATTACGTATCGTGGAATCCCACTCATTCCGACCTGTTCTGTACCTCCGGTCAAAAAGACAAACGAGTAATCTTTTGGGACGCAAGGCGTAATGTCGTTCGCGCTGCTCGCAGACGTCTCAACTCACCGTTTCCTCTAAAGAAAGTCGGTATATCCAACAGGCCCAGCTAAAGGTTTCCCCTCTGCAAACAAACTATTCCCCTGATGGGAAGGTTCTGTTATGCACCACTGTCGGATATCCGCTGGTTTTCTTTACATTCGGGAAGGAAAATGACGCCTCGAAGGAGACATGGCAAATATCGGATAAAGATGGCGTGAGTATCTGATTGCTTCGCATTTTCTGCCAGGAGTCCGACCAGCCCGTTAGAGTATGGTCGCTTCAACCGCCACATTCAATCATGCCGGGGATGGCATCATACTGACCCATCATTCGGAGCATAGTCTCCGTATCGTTGACTATCCATCCCTCACTTTGCGAGAAAATCCAGCCGCTCATGTCGGGGGCTGCCTTGCTGTTGCCCTTGATCCTCGTGGAAGGTGAACGTTGAAATTACGACCCTCATATTTCCTTTCTCTGACGACCGATGGTATTCAGGTATCTCGCTTCCGGTGGATACGACTCCATCGTGAATTTCTTTGATCTGAACGAGTGGATATGTGCACGCACAATCGCTTCGTGCGAGTAAGTTTAAGAAATCACCATGCTTTCAGGGACCTCACATGCATCAGGAACACTATCAACGCTTTGAGCTTTTCGTATGATGGGGAGTACCTGGCAATTGCTAGCACAGCATCATACATAGACATCGTGGGTGTCGCCACACTCCCGCGTTTCCAAAATTACTGAAGGCTGGAATTTCCAGATTGCAACGGAAACAGGAATGCCCCTCCATCGTGTTCCGGCACTCGCACCATCCCCTACGGTAACTTGGCACCCCTCAAAATATGTCTTCGCGTACTGCGGACAAACTAAGGCTAGAGAAGGATCTCCGCCTCCTACTGCGGTGATAAGTCTATTTGGAGGCGGAATTTAGGTATATGTGTGTGCATCTGGTATTCAAGCAATAGCTTCGGCTCTAGGGTGTTTCTAGAGACTGATGCAAAGGTTGAATTCATTGCCCTTTGAGTTGTCGATTACGATTTGTATCGGCATAGCACTAATGCAAGTTGATCTCGATACACGTGTGCGTGAACCGCCATCAGTTGATCGATCGATCGATGTGAGATAACTTGTTCTTGAACCCACCGTCGATGTTGCCCAACAGATCATACGAGGTTGGTATTCATAACTTGTTGTCTCGGTCCAACGCCAAGCAACGCACCAGACAGTAGCTGGGTACTTTGTCCAAGATAAACCGGGTCCAATCACCCCGGAATCAGAGTTTCATGAGGTATCAAGTTGCTCCGTTTCCCTTCATCGCATGAGTTGACCTGACACGTCGAGTAGGCTGTGAGTTGAGCAGCCTCCATTACTCCAGCATACCAGACATTCATATCGCTTTCGTAGCTTCCTCCCCGCTTCGGTCTGATCGATGACGGTCCAGAGAGGTGGAGCAAGCTCATCGCATCTATCCAGCAGCTCAATGTCGGTGCGCCAAGCCACGTCCAATATAAACTTTTCTTCCTCGGAAGGCACGGAGAGGGATATCGTCAGTTACCACCACCCTTGTCGCTTGACTGCGACTGACTAGCGGGATTTCTGGACAAACGGGTACACAGATAATTTCGGGTGGGCAAAACATGGGCAACAGGTGCGTCCTATGCATGCGCTGTCGGGCTAATCGACTGATGCCTGGCATTGATCGATGCTCAAGGCTTGGGATGAGTAAGTGCGTTTCGTGAGGTCAGCGTTTATATCTGGTCCCATGGTTGTAGTTATTGGTCCAAGTTAAACGGCGACGGAGAGTTGATATGGGGGCGTAAGTGTTCTCGCACTTCGTATATTTCAACCCATCTGAACTAATAGTTAAACCCACCAGCGGACCCCGAGCTCACACCGGTAGGTGAGGGCCAAGCAGACGAAGCACATGTTGCATGGAAGACGGAACTCCAATGCGGTCTTCCCTTCCCAGAGAAGCTCTATTGCAGCCCGCTCTCGCGCGCCATACGAACGAATCAGCGCTCTTTCAAGGATCTTAATCCTGACGGTCGGAGGACGACTATCGTAGAGGTAATGTCATGTTACTCGTTCTTTCTCTGGCTTCCTCTCATTGAGGTGTGAACCGTGCTCAGAATATCCGAGAGGAATTTGGGATTCATACTTGCGATAAGAGGCGGACGCGAACGTACATCCGCGAGACATTCCCAGAATACCTCATCGAGGATGGTTTCACTGAGGAAGACGAGTTGTGGAAACCTAATGTCAGAGAGTCCTGGGACGATGTCGACGTTCGGGCCAAGGCGGTTCTGGATATGATTTTTGAGAATGACAAGGAACAATGTAATGACTTGTTTTCTCAAAGTGGTTGGATGTCAATTAATCTTTCACCCAGATATCTCGGTTACTGCGCATTCAGGCTTCATCAACGCGTGCTTACGAGTCACAGACCATCCGTTATGGGCCCTTCCGACTGGAGGTATGTATCCGTGAGCCCTCTTTGTTTTCTTCAAATAGTTGATTCATGTCTCAGGGGTGATTCCAATCGTCGTCAAAGCGACGGCAGAGCGCATGCCTACTTAGTTCAACACAATGGAGTTCATTACCCAACGGATACCATAGACCGTGGATTTGGGCAGGAGAATTGCAATTCAAATCATAGATGTAGTAGATTGTATACTGGAGTGCACTAGCCCCGGGACTACGGCCGGCTGTACAGCAATGTCGGGAACAATGAGTCCGGCTCCTTACGGAAAGTTAGGTGCACGAGGTTGTGGGCGTCAATCACTGGGAAATAAGGTTGTTTCCCCCATGATCCCATCCTGCATGAACTATCATACATGGACGAAGACGAGGACATAGGTGGTAGACAGCTGGATGGTATGTCCACCTCCCAAGTGGCGATGATCCCCATGACGCAAAACGCAGGAGATGAAGTGACGTGTCTGTCTCCCGTGGATTCTGGTGACTCAGACATGGATTCGCTCTTTGATGAGCCTTGCATCCCAGTACATCCCATTGCCATACGTACCGCGCCACCCATTCCAGGGCTCTTCTTCCCGCCTGTCTTCCTCCCACGGGAACTCGAGGACGAGATCGCCACTCAATGCATGCACCTATACTTCGAAGGCAGGAATGTGAACCAAGTGATGCTCTTCGGACGTACCACATCAGATGCCAGCGGAGACGCGGATGATAAGGACACAAGGATGGGCAAGGGTTTGCCGCCGTTTCTGATCTCGCTTCTTCACTACCTGTCGAACGTGCTTCGACACTCAATTCCAGATGCTCTCTACGCTGTCCTATTCCCACCCCGGGGTGCACCGTCTCGAGCGCGTCAGGCAATAGTGAATCTTTATCACCCAGGTGAAGGAATCACTCCCCACGTGGATCTATTAAATCGGTTCGATGATGGGATCATCGGGGTCAGTCTGCGAAGTGGTTGCGTCATGACATTTGAGAGAGTTGCAGGGAAACCGATGTGCGAGCAGGAGCGATGTCATTCGGATATGGTAGAGTCGCAGGCCCGCTGGGATCTGCACTTGCCGGAACGGAGTATCCTGGTATTATCCAAAGACGCGCGGTACGGGTGGACACATGGCATCCCGGGTAGGACGCATGACTTAGTGGAGAGTGAAGAGAAAGAGCAGGAACCGCGTCTGGTTAGGAGGGGCACCCGATTGAGTATCACATTTAGGTGGCTTCTTCCTGGTGCAGATATCGTAGGGGGACCTGATCCGTGATGATGGAAGAATCGATCTAACTGTATCAGTCTCGTACAGCCAATCAGGTAACTCACCAATCGAAGTTTAGGTTGACTCGCAAGTGGGGTGGGTGTAGGAGAAGAAAAGTACGGTTGGAGATTAGATGGTGTTTAACGTCATGAGTGCATCCTACATTCTACACGCTCTTCTATTATGGTATGCTCATAGGGGTTGGAAGCACGAGCATTGATTCAATAATGACCACCACGCAAAGCAAGAACGAGATGAAGTACTGATCCAGCTGTGATATTGAAGTCTTTGGCTGTTTTATCATCGGGCCTGCGGAGAGTGAACAAAAAAGTTACATACAAAAGGTCATGGACTTACATCTGCCTCCCACTGAAGATCAGCCGCTGTTGTTGTGGTGGCACGCCCGACTGCTCCTCCACTTTCTCCTTGATTCTGCTGATCTTGATGGGAATATAAGTGAAAATGGGAAACTGCTGCGGTATTGTGGTCAACTTACCTTGTCTTCGGAATCGATGTCTAACTCGATCTACAGAAGATGTCAGTGGCCATACATTAGCTAGTGGTGACCCCCCTCAGGAGCGTACCTCCTTGCCAGTCAATGTCTAGGAAATACAATCATCCGCATGTTACGCTCAAGATTATATCTGATGCTTGCCTTTACTTTGATCAACATGTCGATCTGTTGTTCTGTTGCAAGGTATTGTACAGCAAATGGGGAGGACGAAACGGGAAAAGTGACGCCAGGGGGTATGTCCTGCTTAGTCAGCAGCTCTTCTGGTCTCCCGTTCCCTCGAAGCGGTTGGCTCAGGCTTGCAACGCAATGGCGGATATGGACACAACACCCTCTGGAAAACCAATTGTAGCAAGGGACAAGGTGGGTTCTCGGGTCGCTTTAAGGAGTCGGTCTTGACGACCGAATATGGGTAGACTCCGCCGTTCCTCATTCGCACGTTCGTGAAGGTAGGGACACCGCACAGACTTTCGTTGTTCGAGGAGGGCACGCTCCCAACGACGGACGAACAGCAGATATTCACCTGGTAAGTCGAGTGAAGCGGTGTTTGGAATGGTTATTTATGAGTATCTTTTGTAGGAAAGACGCGACCTTGCGCGAGGTCTTGACCACGCTACGAAACACTGCACCTCAGATACCAGAACTTAAACATCCACTTGGACGTTACTCATTCCGTGCTATCTACGCAGATGCTGCCAACAGGGGTCGTTTCGCTCAAAAAGAACTGGGTATCGTCTATTCCAGGGACATACTGGGAGAACCTGGAAGTTTGGAATTTCCTGCCCCGCGTCTGGTGGAGGATGCGGATAACGAAAACAGAGAACTGACAGAACGCGAAAAGGAAGAAAGGACGCTCGAAGAACTGCGTTTCGTTCCTGGAGACTACCTTTGCATATCCATCATTCTTCCGAAGAGTGCGACTGCTGGTGCTCCTCCCCAAGGCGAAACCACTGTCAACAAACCAGTGCCAAGTGCCAATGGATGGAGAGGTGGTGCTCTTGGCCGTGTCGGAGATTCAGGATGGGGTTCGCGTGCTCCGGCTGGTCGGGGTGGAGGACACTGGCGGGGAGAGTCTAATCCTTCCCCTCCAGGCGGTCGGGGTCGTGGTGGTCGTGGCGACTTTGCTGGGAGAGATCGTGACTTTGACAGAGCTCGTGAACCGGATAGACGCCCTCCGCCCCCGAGGAGGGAATCTCCACCCTACCGTGGTGGTCGTGCAGGGGGAAGAGGTGGCAGACGTTCACCGTCCAATTCCAGGTCGCGAAGCCCGCCAAGACGAAGGGGTCCGCGTTATGACTGATTACCTTGATGACCGCTGTTGCTACGAGTAGTTGCCTTGGTGCATCTGCACTCAAGGGTAGATGTGTGTCGTGCCGGGGATGTGTACATACTGTGATCCGTATCAGAGGTCTTAGTGCAGGCACTGCGCGTGTTGATTGTACACGGCCATCCGTTGACCGTGGCAGACTGTCGCGAAAACAGGCTAATCACACATCTATCAAGGATATCTCAGGCCCAGGTGTTTCCTGGTCCATACATATACCGCGTCGTTCAGGAAACGACATTTCGGTTCAATAGTCTCCGTCGGTCGCGGTGATCGACGACCACCTTCTGGTCTTCAAGGCTTGAGGACCATTCGTTCACAAAACGTCTTTCTTACACGTCGTGTATACACCAACTCAAGATGGGCGCGAATCCGTCTCGGCCAGTGGCATACCCAGTGCCAGTCCCGGTGATGTACGACACGATGCCTCGTAGCAGGTCCAGGAGGCGTGCGTACTCTACCGCCGCGTACGGATACCGACCTCAAGCCATGTACGGGCAACCAATTTGTGCGTGACAGTAGTGGTGAGATGCTAAGCTCGACTGTCCTAACTAGATCTCGTTACTACTCTGTCCCGTCTCAGACCCTCAGGTCACAGCACACTATCCACAACCTGCTCCTCAGTATGCACCCGTTCAGCTGGCATTCTATACACAACCCCAACAGGCCATGCAGACTATGCAGCCGGTTCAGCCCATTCAACCCATGCAGCCTGTTCAGCCCATGATGGCCATGCCCCAGGCGTATGTGCCGGTGACAGCTGTTCAACAAGTAGCAGCAGCACAAATGCCAATGCCGGCACCAGCACCAGCAGTGGTTCCCGTAGCTGCCACGGTACCAGCTCAACAGATGCGACAGGCGCATCCAGCAGCCCAAATGCGAATGCCAGAACCGATCAGTGTATCAGCTTCCCAGAACAACGTCTTTCCATCTATGCCACCGCAAGCGGACCCAGTCATCCCGCCACCTCCAGTTATCAGTGATGAACCGCGGACACCAAGATCCGGTCGGCGTCGGTATACTAGTTTCTACAGACCCGCAGACGGAGGAGTATCTATGCCTCAACCGGAGCTGGATCCGGCTATGCCATTCCGGCCACCAACCGCTCATCCGCCCACTGACCCGATGCATCGCAATCCTCTACCGCAACCACCAGCTGACGTCTGGGAAAGTTCACCTTATAGAGACCTACTGCATAGTCTTCCCCGAGACGTGTCGCAGGTACTCGGTGTCGACAACGCACATCAAGTCTTTCCTGAACAGCCAGAACCACCGCCATCTCACCATCACTCCCGCCTTGGGAGTTTATTTGGTTCTCGCAAGGGAAAAGGCAGAAGCCGTGGGGGGCTCTTCCGGTCACATAGCACGACTGGAGCTGGAGTCGAGATGCCAATGCCAGAACCCGCTTCCAGTGGTCGACGCGATCGCGCCAGCCGCATCCCACCCGTGGCGAACATCGTCATTCCTCCGCCGCCGATCCCAGAGAGCGAACGTCCTCCACCAATAAAGTTTAATCATGCCGGTGACCTTAGTGGGTTCGTGAACCAATCCAACCATCGCATCATACATAAAAATAAGACATATCCCTCCGCCTTGCATCTTCTCGAAGCAATGAAATTTGCGGATAAGCCGGATATTGTAGAAAGGATACGTTTGGCTTTGGATGCGAACGAGGTGTACAGGCTCTCGTCGCAGTATCAAGAACATGTCCGTGCAGATTGGGGCCGTATGTTCCTCGACGTCGTACGTTTTGTTTTTTCCTACCGAGATCGCAACGCGGCACTTACATGAATTTCCACCTCAGCTGGACGACGTGTTATACCTCAAGTTTAAACAAAACCCTACGATTCGACACCTGCTTTTGAACACGGGGATCGCGGACCTCATTTTCGCGGATTCAAATGAATATTGGGGTGAGGGTCCCAATGGCGAAGGTGAAAATCACCTTGGGAGAGCCCTTTGTCGTGTCAGAGAAAGGTTTCATCGTGAAGGCGTGAGGTAACATACATTCATATTTGATGACTTTCTTTCAGGTTTTTATATTTGCAAAATATTCCACGGAATAATGTTGAAAACAGCCACCACTATCTTCTTGATCGATACCTACATGCTTTAAGTTCAGTGTACTTTTTTTCCCCTGGGCATTATTCACAGGCCACGGTTTCGCCAGTTGTAACGACAAGATGGATGGAATACACTACGTCCATGTACATGGCTTTAGCAATGAAATGTTAGTAGTTCGCTGGCTACTCATTACTTGGGCGCTAGCGTTTGCGCTTCTTTGCGCCTCGAGTAGTTGCAGTACCACCCGACATAGAGGCGTTCGGACAGGAAACGTCAATGGGTTGTTCAGACTCCAGGGCTTTTTCAACAGCTTGACGACAGACTTTCTCCGGAATGTTCTTCCAATATAATTCTTCTTTTTTACCTTCAATAAGTTCCATTTTGATGGACCTTTCATTTTCGCTGGGTGCCCTACCGGTGTCGTCGAGACCAGTGGCTTGGACGGTTGGATGCCGTGTAAAGTGTTCAGTTAGAACGGCAGTATGGTTCGGAGATGTTAGGCGGAGATAACACTGGTATTTTTTGCTCAGTTTCACGCAAGGGCAGATGAGTGACTGGAAAGGACGAACCGAGTCCATGCCCTTATTAAAGTCAACATAGTCGAGACCGGTGAGTTTCCCCTTACCTTCAAACGCTTTGGCAAACAGAGTTTTGAGGGTTGTTTTATTTGTCCCCGAGTGGATGTTCCGGACGAAAATTAAGCATCCATATGGATACGGAGATGCAATTGTCGTTTTTGGAGTACCACCTGGCGGCCGTGAGGCGAGAGCATGGGTAGGAAAGCCTTCATCTTCCGGCCGAACACGTGTGGACACATCTGTCCCCGAAGGGATGTCTGAACGATGGTTTGATGGTGCATGTTTGCTTGCCTCAAAGATTTCGTCCACGAGTTGTTGCCTGTAGGCGATGTACTCCTCATTTAGCTGATCCCACCGCGTCTTGGATATGGTCCGAAACCCGAATCTCTGTGCTTCTTTCACTTCAGGTGTTCCATGGTCAGTGATGTCGCAAACGCCTCGTTTCCACGGCCACACGTGGAGAAGCGCATCTCGCTGTTCAGTAGTAGAGAATGTGACCAGCGCGTACCCCCTACATTTTGGGATATCCCCTGGTTTATCGAGGTAGTGTGGAGGTAGCGTAACATTTTGAATGTGTACTCGCGAAGACGGCGGTAAAGGTAGAAGGGCCTGAGTAAATCGTGCGATCCCAGCGAGGCTACGGTACTGCGTAGGTACGCACTCCTGCGATGCGATAGTCAGAGGTGTCGAAGTATCGAAGATATAAACGCACCATATACAAAGTTCTCTCATCCCACTGCTCAGGGCTAAGATGGCGCAAAGGATGGTCTAGTAACGTTTCCCAATCCTTCCTGCGAACTTCGTATCCGCCGACGTCCTTCTTTCTCGAGGTTTTACCGGTACCATACCAAACAGATGAAGACGGTGCTGAGACGAGCATGCGCACTTCCAGTGTGTCGTTGGCATACGACCGGAGGGCTTTCACAACCCCTACCTCCGATGGCTCTGCCGGCAGGAACCCACGGAACGGTGGTCGCCGTATGAGATAATTTACGGGTACAACTGAAATGAGAAGGTCAGCCCGGAAATTAGGCAAGACGAACCGAACGCACGTACACCCTGCTGTTGAAGTATCGCTGGTGTTCAGACAATCGTCCAGTTTGCTTCGCAGATCAGCATCTGACCAGATCCTATAGTCAGACAGGGCGAGCAACGCAAGGGCTGCGATGTCTCTGCCAACGTCATGAGCATGACTGTCGACTGCTCGCTGCTTGCCCTTCTTGTCCTTGTCTGTCACGACGGCTTCGGGTGCCTTGGAGTCATCCTCTGAGTCGGACACTGATGAGGGCGATCGTGCGCGCTGGGGTACGACGGATGGAGTCTTGGGAGGTTCCGTTCCTTGAACTTTCATAGGTCGAGAGACTTGTCGCGGAACAAATGCAAACGGCACTGACATCGAGTTACGAGTAGCAATTCAAGTCGCTCGTCAACGTTGTACACAGCACTCTCGGATAGGGTGCCAGCTCTGTCGTCACCCGTTTCGTAGGGATGCGACGGCAGTTCGATGTACGTGTAGGAAACACAACAATTACCAGTACAACTACATCCAAGCTCCCGTTTGTCCTTCGATGTTATGGTCTAACTAGTCGAACGCTATTTAGATTCTGGCAGACAGAATGGACCGGACACACGCCTAACAGCTCGGAAAAACGACCTGTCAGTAACTGGACCAGGTAATGAAGGAACAAAGAATCCGATTGCAAATTACTACCATCATTGAGCCCCAGTAGGAGAAGATATCTAGAAAAGGGCGGTTGGTGCCCTTCAGGCCACTTGGGTAAATGGTAGAGGCACGAACACGGCGCGTCCGAGATATCATGGCGCTCTCAGGTGTGCTTGATGTCGTCTTGCAAGTCCGGAAGAGTTGGGAACTGGACACTTACCGGTGGCAATGTACCCCAGCCTGCTTCCCGGCTGTCAGCAATAAAACGGCTGCGGTGACGATAGTCGAAAGAGAACGATTTGGTTTGTCCAGGAGAGCAATAAGTAGACAACGATGACGCACCAAATTTGGCGAACTTCACGAGCAAATAGTTGTAAAAAAAATACTATGTAACGTGAAGCCGACGACTTCGCTCCAATTCTGCAACTTTCTAGCTGTTATGTAGTCAAAGATTTTCTAGAACTCCAGCCGCGACGGGACTCCTAGCGGTATCACCTTGCTGCTTTACCTGAGGCACTAAGAGTAACAAGTTTACTGGCCTTTGGGCTGTTTCAATTTGCACATAAATCAACACCTTGGAATTCACAGCGCAGGCCATTATATACAAGTTGTCCCATGGACTATGTATGTTAAAGTACGTGCCGGTGTCTAACCGGAATTGGGGTTACTAAATCTAAACCAGCAGGAGATCTACTCGATGAAGGGATTCGATTTACACGCCCGCCTTAAGGAGCACGTATCAATGTTCCATCAATCACGGGAAGAAAGGACGGCAGGGTTTAGATGAGTGGCCGCAGGTCCGCCGGGTACGGCCCCAGGGAACCACCTGGCCAAGTTGGCGGCGCGCCGCTCGTTGGTTGGTGGCTGGAGGGGAATCGTTGCATCGGCGTCATAGTACGCAATAGCGAAAGCAATTCTAGTGTTTTCGGTCGTGTTGGATGCCGCAGCATGGTATGTCCAGCACGAGTGGCTATAATATTTGTGCTAAGCTTGATTTTCGACAGCTGGAAGAGAGATACTTACAATGTTGCATCTCCTGCGTTCATGTGTTGCGCGGGGGCCACGGAAAGGTTTTCGTTCTCGACCAATTTTCTAATGTATTCGTCGCTCTCATCGGAAATCGGCAGGTGTTCAGCATCTTTATTGAGGTGTGAACCCGACACAAACGACATGGGTCCCATGTCTACTGGGCAATCGATAAGCGGAACCCAAAGGGTTATGCACCCATCTGTGTTAAGGGGCCTGTCATCATGGGAACAGCTCAGTGCATGTTGAAGGTTAGAAGTTCGAAAGAGGTCACTCACCAGTAGTGCCCATCCTGGTGCCACGGTGTCGGTTTGCCCTTACCAAGACCTTCCTTGAAGAAGGTGAGGTCGTGGTAAATCCGCACGTCACGGCAGCCTAAGAGCTTCGCAGCGATTCCTTATTTTTCAAGGTGAGCGTGAAGTTGGTGCCCGATCATCGCGAACGCACCTGCGTAACGCTTGGACAAGACGTGCGCGCGCACGACGCCGTTTATTTCCCATAGGTTCTGGGTGATGCGAAACGCTTTCTGGAAGTCCTCCTCTTGGTCTTTGAGAGCTTCATGCGCTCGCAATACGGCAGTGCGCAATTCAGCGATCTCCGACTCAGGGATGACGTTCTTGAGCAGGATGTGTCCCTAGGAGATTTTCGTCAGCAAAGACAGTCGCGTTCAGTGCAAGTGCGCAACAGACATTGTTTTGGTACTCGTCAATCTGAGAGCGGGAGAGGTCGTAGTCCTCGGCGAGTGCGACGCGAGTGTGGAAGACCATTGTGGATATTCAGAAGATTGTAGGGTTTGTGACTGGAAGAACTGGACGGTATTTAGTTTCTGATTCTCCTCGATCATCTTTGCAGCTTTTTAAATCTCCAGAGGAGCACGATGGGGCTATGTCCCTTACAACAACTTTGCACCCAACTCACAGCAAACCGGTGGGCAACAGACTAAGTGTTCACAATGCGGAAACCTCGGTGGTGACGGTTTCACCGTTGACCGGGGATGTAATGTGTGTCATGAATGATCGGACACTAGTGCGGTTCTGCCTCAGGTCCGGGCGATGCGCACATTGAGGTAAACTTTTTCCCTCTCACCAATCATCCCCATCACTTTGCAGGCTGATAGTCTGGTACCCAAACCGGTGCTACTAATGAGGTAAGCCATTCTAATGGGGGGACGAGAAGAGCGAAAGTGGATACAACATGCAGACATCACGATGAGCCAGAATGAACAGGCCTCGAGTAGGCCTAGCAGGGATCACGCTTACGCCCATGTTTACGCGCACAAGTGCTATCCCATCGTCACGTATTGGCGCAATTGACCTGATTTGAACACCAATAATTTTAACCCTACGGCCAACGGGAGTCACGTCACGACGAGATTCCTGCTCAGGCTCATCTTCCAGGAGTCGCACCCACTAGGATGTGACTGCCAATGCGCCTCTACTCTATACACCTATCCGAGGAGGTTGTTCATATCCAGTGTTACCAGTGGTCAAAGCAAGCCCGACCGAGGCGACAACTGCACTCGCTGACATGAATGCAACGGACCAATTGGGACGAGGGTACCAATAAAGAAGCGGACAGCGGCTCATTAGGCAGGACACTCCCCAGTCTCATTTCGCCATTTTCGTTGGTTCTCGGTATGTAGGGACGAGAAATACCTTGTTCTCTACGCCTACCACAATTATTCAGCGCATTGATTGCGAAAGCGGAAACTTTCATCAGGGAAGCGTGGGTGACGTTACCACGCAATTTTGAGAGATACATATCAAAATGGCTTTGAGATGGGACGAAGAACTACTAAGTAAATTATGCGCTAGTTGTGCATTTTTAGTTATCCGCAGCTCTCAGGGAAAGGAGCCAGAGTCACCGGGATTACTATTCTGCTCACGTTGAAACCCTAGGCAATGCGAGTTATCGCGATTGATGGCCAACTCCTAGACGGGTTCAAGGGCGGATGCCAATAACCTGTTCCCCGCCTGTTAAGTAATGCTTCCGTCGTTGTCTGCGCGCCAAGTAATGACGGTGCACTATCGTCAGCATGGTGCGGCTGGTAGAGACATCTGGATTGGTAAGTAGCGGTAGTTCCGCAGGTGAAATGCAATAGCGTAATCGACAGCGCAAGTTCCACAAAGGTAAGCGGACCGCGGACATGTCAGAGCTTCCGCCGGATCGCAGGTCTACGTTTCGAACTATGGAGTACATGGTAAGGCGAAAATCACATCAATTACGCGTGTAACATGGCGATGAGACATAGCTTGATATCGTTCGTCTTTAGATCGGCCTTACCAAGCGCAAAACTACCCACATGATGATGACCAACTGTTGTGCAGGCAGTACTTATTAGGGTGTTCGGAAATAACTGCATAACAATACTTACGAGGATACTAGTGCTGGTATACATGTCTGTAACTGGGGTTTCCATGGAGCCCTGATGGATGACTAGAGTCAATCACAGGCCTCGCAAATTGTGGCAGTAGAATCGATTTCATCGGCCATGGTGGTGAAGGCGGTGTACTTCCTGCCCTCTGAGCGCTTTGAGTCACTGGTTTCTGCGCCCCTGTTGTCTGGCCGTAACACGTATGAGTAATATTTGACTCCTTCCGGGTTCTTTGACGCAAAGATATCAGTCTGAGTCTCCAATGCGCACTCTAGCAGTAGATAATCAGGCAGCCGACAAGACCGGTTTCCCCTGTGACATATATACCGTTTTTTTTTTTTTGGGGGGGGGGTCATTGAACGTCCGCCCAATCCGAGGATGCTACCTGCTCCTTCCGATCTCTTGCCAAATGCGGTTACTCCCACTTTCCTCGTGATAATACTTTCCCACGTGTGCAATGGCCTCTACACTGCAACTGTTATTCTTCTGAAGCCTCAAACATCGAAGGCATGGTATAGTTACATAGACGGAATACTTAGTTTTAAGAAGGCAAGATTGTGGAAGCTATAAAACATCAAATGTTGTTGTTGGAGTATCAGAGCAGTACTTGTGTGATTTCAGACACTTGTAGCAGAGATCTAGTCTAATCCGCTGCACGAGATTGCGAATTCTACAGGCATTGTGCATTATTTCTATGCGAATATTTTCATACACTTGGATTCTCAAGTTAGAGGGGGAACGACTGTATGCTATTCAAGATACATTCATTCACTGATGGTCACCCATACTATAGGGGCGACATGCTCCCTACAGCCAGTACCTTGGAGTCCGGACCGTGCCATGTCAAACTTGTACTCGGTCTGATTGTATCACTGCAGCACTCAAATCGTTCACTAACACTTGGCTACAGCTGAGAACTTATGAAGGAACCCATCGCTTTCACTTGATAGAAAAGGAGGTCAGAAATGACGCATTCGCCGATCGCCCGCGCCTCGGGGTGTTTGTTCGGCCAAGTTCTCCAACTTGTTGACTCTGCGCTAAATCTTTCTTCAAGTGGATTCCTTTTCTCCTTTACTGCTTCCTCGTTCTCAGTTTCTCCTTTTGGGTTCGTGTCGAGCCTACCACTACCTTCGTCACCAGTCGTGTTGCTATGGCCGCCACCAACAGCCTTGATTCCGAATGCACTGTCCCTGCCGCTCCGACTGCTCCGAGCCCTCCTTCGTCTATCGAGGCCGAATGTTACTATTACGGCATACACTCTCGCCCCCGTTTGGTCGCTCGTTCCAGCACCAACGTCTGGGTCAAGCCGACGGGCCCCGAAGCACACCTTATCACCAAGGAGCTTGGTCCTCTGGGCTTGCACCCTCTCCGAGACATCTGGGAGGCCTCGGTTGGTCCCGCCATATTCGAATATTTGGATTCCAAGGGGGTGAAGTGGACGAGTATAGACCCAGTTCGTATAGGTTACGATGACGAGATTCCCCGTCCCGCTATCGTATGGATCGGAGTTGTCCCTGGCTCCCTCTCTGCCGAGGATGGCGTCGAGATCGCTGTTCATTGCAAGGGCATCCTTACCGCTCACCAAATGGACGACGTCCACGTCGAAATTCGCGAGTCGGAGGTCTTCCGCTACGCCAGTCACAAGACGTATAAGCCAGCCCTCACCTCCAACGCCACCGCCCGGGACCGAGAGCCTTTCTCCACTGCCCTCGGTCTCCCGATCTGTGCCGAAGTCACCCCATCCATCGAGGGAACTGGCGGATTCTTCTTCACCGACCCTCGCAACCCCGGCAAGCTCTACCTTCTCACAGCCAGACATGTCGTTTTCCATCCTGATAAGGATCCCAACGTACTCTACCAGCATGGCAACTCCAGCCAGCCCCGAAAGAACGTCTTGCTATTTGGCGATGCTGCGATGGAGAAGTATCTCAAGGCCATCGAGTCTGAGATCGGCAGCAAGCAGATCATCATCGGGCAGCTCGAGAGGCGGTTGGAGGCTGCTGAGCAGACGGATGAGGATGCTGAGAAGGAGCGGAAACAGGTCCTGCCGCAGTTGGAGAAGGCGAGGGAGGCGATGGAAAACCTCGAGAAGTTCCTCGCTGATGTCTCCAGAGACTGGAAAGAGCGAGAGAACCGTGTCCTCGGCTACGTCGTTCTGTCTCCCCCTATCGGTCTTGACGTCGGGGAGGAAGGGTTTACTGAGGATTGGGCGGTGATTGAGATCAACGATGAAATCGTTGACGAGTTTACTGCGGGGATGTTCCCCCACCCCGCCAACCCGCCTTCGCTGGAGTACCCGGGAGACCGTCTCCTCGAGTTCTACGGCACAATCCCCGATGAGGAGATGTGGAAGCCTAGCCCGAGGACCTTCGACCACGCCAATGACCCGTGCGTTATGATGGTCTTCAAGCGCGGCTACGCCCCCGACCTCACCGTCGGACGCCTCAACACCATCCGTTCGTTCACCAGGGTCTACTTCAAGGGCCAGCCCGGTCAGATGTCGAAGGAGGTCGCCGTCTTGCCTCGCAACTCCGAGTCTGGTCCCTTCTCCAGCCCTGGCGACTCTGGCTCGACTGTCATCGATGGCATGGGCAGGATTGCCGGCTTGCTCACTAGCAGCGCTGGAGTCACTGACGTCTCCGACTGCACCTACCTTACCTCCATCAACTTCCTCGTCAAGCGCATGTTGGAGTACGGTCTCAAGGCTAATCTCTTCCTCTCCCTCATTGCTTAAATGCCACTCCCCTCTATCTACGGACTCGTCGTCAGTTAGACTAGGTACCGGATACTTCCTTCGTACGGCACTCGGTCTCGTGTTGGGCGTGACGTGGCGTCTCCCGCAGTCTTCTCTTGATCGCTTACAATGTACAGTACTTCCATGAAATGTTAGGTGCAGATTGTTATTCGGAAATGTATTCGTAGTACGTGAATTTGACGTTTTTTTTTTTTTTTTTTTTTTTTTTCAATATTGCTCAAAGTTGGCTTACAAAAACACGAAAAGAGCCTGCACGGATGCGAAGGGGAGTAGCTAACTCATCTCAATCACGACGGACCACGCCCGTGCACTGCCATCAGGGAAATTGGACACTTGGTGTGCAAGAGGTTTCTCTAGTACAAAAGATACAGCAAGTAGGAGTGAAGCCATGGCAGACATGGGACTCCGTTCTTCGACCGAAAGATTTGCCTCCGGGGCATCCTCGTTCAGTCTGTGGGGCTCATCGGGCGTGACCACAACAGTGGAGTTTTGGAAGGTAACTTCATTCACGCTCCAAAAGCCTTAGAGGTCAACAGGACGGAAAGTGTAGCCAGAGGGTGGTAAGACAGAGGTGAGGAGTACCCTTGTAAGTAATGGCGCATGATGGAAATTGGAAAACAATAGTCTCCCATAGGCAAACCAAAGACTCGACGGTCGACGATCGCGGAAAACAACGGCCCCCGTTTGCCGTGCATCGTCCAGCACAGGGCTGACCGCCTGTTCATAGCCGCATGGCGTAATCTCGCGAGGCCCATCAGCAACGCAATATCCATGGGAAACACCTCTGGAATTCCACTCGGATTTTAGGAAAGGGAATCCTGAGGTCAACACCGTGAACGTTCGGGGATAGAGAGATTCCCAATAAACTATCGATCGATCGCAAACACCAATCTACCGAAGCCAGCCTATGCCAGTCTCGTAAGTACTTAGCAGGAGGATTCCGTCTTCGACAACACATATGCAGGACTAATGAAGTCTTCTGCGGTGGTTCTATCATATCCATCAAGCCAACTGCGCGTTAAAGCATTGTTGTCCAGGCTATAAAAGCATCCTTGATGTCTACTTTACCCACACGCTACCTTAGACTGGTCGCTGCTCCCTCACTGCTGCTCCCTCACTGCTAGTATGCTCGGTCCTGTCCCCTCGCCCTCACCTGTGCCGGTCCTCCCGGGCTCCAGACCCGGTGCCTCCCCAGACCTTGAAACAAACATTCCAATCATTGACATACGATCCACTGCGCACTCCGTCACAGTCGCTGCCCTGGAGGACGGCATTCGCGCCAATGTGCTTGCCGGTTTCTCTAAGCCATATAATGAGAAAGAACTCCCGAACCTGTTACTGTACAACGAGGAGGGCCTGCGTCTGTTCGAGCAGATCACGTACCAGCCAGACTACTACCTCACTGGGCTAGAAATTGATATCTTATCCCGCCATGCCCATCAAATCGCCAATTCCGTCCCAGACGGTGCAATCCTCCTCGAACTTGGTGCCGGGTTAGTTTGTTGGCGTTCGATAGACCTATCCCTGCCACTCACGTTGCATAGGGCTCTCCGCAAAACCGCTCTAGTCTTAGATGCCTTGGAAACTCAAGGTAAAGATGTGACATACTTCGCGCTTGACTTGGATAAGCCGGAGTTGCTCCGAACTCTTGCGGAGTTGAAAGGTCGCTATACCCATGTCAGCCTTGCCGGCTTGTGGGGTACCTACGATGACGGCTGTACTTGGCTAAAGCAAGTCAAAGACCGTCCAAGGATCATCCTGTGGTTGGGCTCTTCTGTTGGCAATATGACACGGAGTATTGCTTTTATACCCTCTCCATACGCGCTCCTCAACTGAAGCAAATTTGCAGAGGAAGCTGGTCAGTTCATTCGCACCTTCGGCGATGTTCTGGCTCCCAGGGATCGCTTTATTGTCGCCATCGACAGTAGATACCACAAGCTCGACGACATCCGTGCTGCGTACAACGACAGGGCAGGCGTCACTCGTCGCTTCGCTCTCAACGCATTGGGTAACATTAACGACCTGTTCAATGCTAACGTCCTTGAAGTCTCGTGCTTTGATTACAACCCCTATTACAACGAGGTAAGTTCCGCAGATTAAGTTGAAGCAGTGCAGCTAACCGCGTTCCTCGCAGATAGAGGGCCGGAATGAGGCCTACTTCCGCTGCCTTAAAGAAACACAGGTCAAGATTCCATCAGAAACACCTATTCTTGTCCACGAAGGGGAATACATCCGTTTCGCGTTTTCCCACAAGTATGACCGCGTCGAGCGGCAGGTGTTGTGGGCTGCTTCCGGGGCTTATCCTGTTCAGGAGTGGATGTCCAAAGATGGGGACTACGCGTTGACGATGCTCTCATGGTCCTCGTGAGATCCAGTACAGGAATTTGGTTGAATATCACAATAAGAATTGCAAACTGTATTATATAGACGACGGCCGAGACCTGTTCTTGCAATTATGAAAACGTTTGTTCATTTTGACCTACCATGGTGCGATCACACACGGCATGCGTGATTTGGTAGTCTCGACCGGTCGTTTTTGGAAATGGAGCGTGGAGTTGGAGGTTTGGGGAAATATCACTCCTTCGCCCAAAATGTCTGGTCGAGGCTACTATTAGTGACAAGTCTCGGCCCCCGACATTTTGATCCTTGCTTCGGACAACCTCGGATAGCTAAGGAATGACCGGTGGTTACGAGATAACTAGTGATTTGGGTGTAGTGTGAGAGGAGCAAATTACAATTCGGGGAGAGCAGCGCTTAGAAAATTTAATCCCGGGGATTGTTGGATGACCGACTCTACTTTGAAGGTAACGCGCTATTTTGGCCGCTTCTTGTGAACGCCAGACATGGGTTAGGTCCGCAATATTGAGTATTCACCGCACTTGACAACGAGATACGGACGTGGTAAACGGCGCAGGGTTCCCAAATGTACTTGGATTGCATCATTCGACCCAGTATTGCTGCGGCCTGGACACCCGAGGCGTTCTCACCGTATGATGAAAAGAAAGCGAAGAACCACAGCATCTTGGCTGTTCCGCTTGACAGAACAGGTGTGGTGCGTGACGCCCCTAATGGGAATGATTATTCTTTGCTGAGCAACAATTCTCCGGATCCATATACGTACATACACATCAGTTGAATTCCCCGTAAATCACTGATGTTACATTCCGGCGGTATACTGAAATGTATGCCGCGACGGATGCGGAGTGCCGTACGTTGCATATTTCTATCCAGGGATTTTCGGATATCCAGGACTATTGACGCAGTGTGCGCTGATGCACCAATAATAGTGGTTACATTATGAAACTTGTAACTGATATCTCTGCTGCGTTAGTAAGTTGCAGCACACGCCGTAGGGTTGAACGTGAGCACCGAGCAAGAATCAAACAAATATCAAAACTCGCCAGCGTGTTTACATAATGAAACACTTCGTGGATGTGAACGTTGAACGTCTGAACGGCACGATCTAGGTTTGCGTGACAGGTTCGACCTTAGCTGATCCGGGGTTCCGTTTGAACACCTTAAATGAGTGGAAATCTAACCCTTGTCACATGGTGCCCGGACCCTGGAGGAAGGGTTCGACCAGTCAAACCGAGAATTCAAAATAATGAAACTGTTCAAGTCAATGTCAGGGTTGGCGATGAGGTCTAAGCTGAAACGAGCAACGACAAGAGTACAGTCCAAGAGTCCAGTGCCGATTGTCTATATCAGCGTGATACATATTAAGCAGTGAAACAGGATTCTCTGAGATCTGGAAATTCATCGACGACATTGAGAGACTCACAACAAAGCGGAAAACCGATATCTCTGTTCTAACGAAGGATTAATTGATACTGCAATCAGCATCGAGTGCGCGGTCCCGTGTTATCTCAACTTCTCCGGGACGACGCCCACTTAACCGCAGCCCGTCTGCCCTTCTCAACATCGACAGCAAACCAAATGATGACTGACGCTGCTGTGCACAACGCGAACAGAAAAGGAAAACCTTGCCAATTGTTCCCCGTCTCATCGATGATTGCTTGGATCACGTTGGGTCCAACCATTGAAGAGGCGCGGTTCGAGAGACCGAACAAGCCGAAGAACTGAGATAGAGATGCGGTCGGAATGTGATGTAGTTAGCATGTGGTCAGTTCTGACGTACCATGTTATCAAAACCGGGGGGACTGAGCTCAGCCATCATCGTTTGCGAGAAGGCGTAGTAGGGTGCTTGGAAGAGGCCAAACACAATATTATAAGCCCTTAGTGAAGGACACTCAGTGATGTCTTGGGTACACATGAAATGTCGGCATACCAGAATTCCCACTCATTGTGGAAGCTAAATCACTCATCAGATATTGGTGTACCAGTGAACGGGACAAGAACTTACCCAAACTTGTCGGTCCAGATACCAATCATACCCCAAAGCGGAATCAAAACCGTAACAACATTCGTAACGACAAACTGGACTGGAATGAGCAACCGCGCGCAAGACAGCATACGCCATATACCATCTTCTTCGTGCTAATTTTCCAGTGTCGTTGGATATACCAGAACCCGAGGGTACTGATCGTAGATGTGATTGCTTGCGATAATCCAATATACGTCAATGTCAGGAAGGAGAAACTGAACTTGGCATTTTGGCAGATAGAAATCAGAGTGCCAGTAGTGTTCAATCCCTGTAAGATATATAAAATGCGTCATTTGTGGCCACATAGGAGCAGCAGGGGTACTGACATCTGCTAACAAGAAATATGCCACGAGATATACGAAGGTGTGAGGAAGATGCTTATATGTTTTTACAGCTGCCCATATCTCATATATGAACGTCGTGAGCAGTGAATTTATAAATCCAGACGAGCAGGTACTTACTTGCTTCCATCCAATGGTGAGGTAATGTTCACCCTTGGGTAAGGGGGGACCATGTCGTGGTAACTGGTAGATAACTGCACAATGTCAGCGAGGGTAGATAGGGATACCAAACCGTCCACGCACACCACCATATCCCAAGAAGAACCCAATATGTGTTATCGCTAGTCTCAGCGTTAGGGATAGCCACTCGCAGAATTGAAAGCCACTCACAGTACAAGAACGTAGCTATCGACGAGGGGACTGTTGGCAGTCGCGGGAGGAAGCAACAAGGCGAGGTTCAGCACATAAGTCGCCACATAACCTACATTACTGTGCATCTGTGCGAGGGATCGTCTACCATAAACAGAATCAGAGACAGAGAACCGACCGTGCTTATGTTGCTGATCCTGTTCTTCTCCAACGATTCCTCCGTCTCATACTCCTCAGCGGAAATCTCCCCAATTTCGTACTTTTCACGCAATTTCCGTGAAAGTGGAGTATTACGGGCAAGTCGGGGAAATGCGGCGGCGTAAAATACGAGCGTTGCGCCGTAAGAAACGAAACCAATGATGTACAACACCATGGCAAGCTTCCAGCGACTGGGAGCTGCCATAATCCACAATGGTAACACGAAATACGGCGTTGCAAATAAAACGTACATGTCAACGCCATGCAGGCATACTGCGCTGCCCAGCAAACGACGGTCACGACGAAGAGAAGCCAGCGCCCAAACGTTCCGTAGTCACCAGCAGAACCGATCGTAGTGATGATGGAGGTCATGATGGCGAAGCTGATACCGTTGGCGAGGAGAACGATACTAGCCACTGATTTGGTCCCCGAGCCCCATGGTAGGACACACTGACCCGACGCGTTCAAAGCGGTGCAAGATGAGCCAGGACCCGCAACTGGATCATGGCCAGCATTGGTTGCAAGATCTTGGAATAACGTTTGGGTATAACCGAGAGGTCCAACACCCTGATACATCCTCAATATTTAACGGCGTAAAGTGCATAGGCACTTACATTGTCTCCGTTGTAATACACTAGGTAACCACAAAGATAAAGACAGACAGAGCGGCATATGCAAACAAACCACACTTACGATAATAGCTCCAGAGCTCCTTCCTAGTGACCAGGGGTTCGTTCTTATCTGCGGAGGCTACCAAGACTTCTACATTGTCTTGACCTTGAATGTCTGGCAGAACCGAGACGTCAGGATCCCTCACGTCTGTCGAACCCAGCAAGTTCTTTCTCCCCGAAAGCTCTGCAGACATGGTGGAAGGAATAAAAAGCACCACGCGCTCAGCGCTGATGCCATATTACTAGCGGGGATTGTGATACATCGTGTGGGTCCTATAATAGCAGGAGGATCGCCCAACTTGAGTTTATCAGAGTTATCGGGGATACCTGTCCACATGCTTTAGAATCACAGAGGACACGGCGCTACAATAAGCCAGTAGACTAGTAGATTCTGTAGGACTTCGAGATATGCACTTGCCTTTGTCTCGGAGGTTGTTCGGAGTCGTCCCACTTCGGGGATTTCGTAATCCTCCATCGAGAAGCTCTGCCACTTTTGCCAACCAATTAGTGTTTACAGCTACAAATGTGGTCCGTCAACTGGCGGACTCTCCTTCAGGTGTGTGTATCTCTTGTGTTTCGCGAGAGCACTAGTAACCTACAAGGCTCTGGCAGCCGGCGCAATCTCTGCGACGGACGGTGACAACCGCTGTCTTGTCTAACACCCAACAGCCTGCAACCAAAGGTACCATATATTTACTAAACCGTTGCTTTTCCTGACCTGCTTAAAGCTGCGGACCCTCTTCAGCCTGTATATCTGACGTTATCTTCCTTGCACGGAAAGAAGGTCAAAGACCAAGCGGTCGCTTTGGATCCTACGGTGTTCAACCATCCCATCCGGAAGGACATATTACACCTCTGTGCGGTTCACTATCTCGATGCCCAACGACAAGGAACGGCATGTACCAAGACCCGTGGCGAGGTTCGAGGATCTGGCAGGAAAATCCGCCCCCAAAAAGGCACTGGTAGAGCTCGCTTGGGAGATGGACAAAGCCCAATGCTTCGAGGCGGAGGTGTGGCATTTGGTCCGAAGCCACGGGATTTTAGCACGAAGCTCAACAGAAAGGTCATCGAGATGGGTATGAGGGTCGCGTTGTCTGCCAAACTCAAAGAGCAGAGGTTGGGTGTTGTTCGACGTTTGCGCTGGTATTGCCCCAAGACTAGGACACTCAAGCGGAGGCTCGACCTGTTGGGGTGGATGACCGGAACGCTCTTTGTCACTGGCGAGTCACAGGTAAATCCAGCGCTACGGCTTGCAGGAAGAAATCTTCCAGGAGTAGATTTCAAAGTCGCCGATGACTTGCACGTGTACGACTTGATAAAATGGCGGAGGGTTGTGCTCGATGTTTCTGCAGTCCAGGCTCTGGAGCAGAGACTCAGCAAGGGATGGGTTGATGTTGTAGAGGAACCAGCGGTGATGCAATCTCGGAGCACTCTTCCTCTTCTCCAGTCTACTTCGACTGAATCCGGATCCGCTGAGTTACAGTAACACTAGTAATGGTACCAGACTTGAGTACAAATTTGCACGGATCAACCTCGCACTAATCATTCACCAAGTTGTTTTGGTACACTACGAGTGTTCGGGGAAGAGCCAGAAATAGCTCGACTATCTTCCACCCCTTCGCGAAAACGATGATGAAGCTTAGTTCTTAACGGTTTTAAACACGTGGTACGTCCGTCGACACTACCCGCACGCTGACCGCGTTACATCAGGAACGATATTTCTGCATCATAGTGGTCGCTGCAATGGTACCTCTTCCATAGTCAGACTCGGGCGACTGGGGCCCAGCGTAATCCAAGAAATCACCGATAAGGTGGGCTATAACTTGCAAGGGATTCCAGTTCTGTTCGCACAGCTGTACCACTCGTCATTCAGTTTGATGAAGGGAGAAACAGCTTCGGCTTCGGTCCGGTGGCTGTGCAGATTACGCAATCACTTTCTACCCCTCTCGACCAAAAAGAGATATTTCCCCTATACTCCTACAAAATGGGTCTCCCCCTCAGAGCTACCCTATTATTCCTCTTAACTCTTGACGTTCACAATGTCTACCACCGTTGACCTCAAACAATTCGTCGACATATCCAACAACCAACGTCATCGTCTTTGTGGTATGTCTTCTTGCAATCCTCTACTGTTCATCGCTCCTCACGTTCTCTTTCAAGACTATGTCGTCGACTGTGTAGTTGATGCGGTTGATTTCGCGACAGGATGTCCACCAGCTTACTGCTGCCCTCCATCCAATCAACCTGAATATGCTCTTCTCAGGAAGTTTGTTATCCTCCTCGTCACACTGTCGCACCCTTCGGTCTACACAATTGCAGTTGCCTTGGTCTATATTGACCGTTTGATACTCACGGAGCGCCTCGTCTTTGATAATGCAACCCGTGAGCGCCTAGTTTTAGGAGCCCTTATGTTGGCTAGTAAAGTGCGCGTGCCTAACAGTTCTACATCTAACTAACGTGACTTATGGTTTACTTCAACAGCACCAGAGTGACGTTCCTCTTGAAGATGAGGACTGGACTGATTTCAGTCTGCCCTTCAGCCGAAAGGAGATTAACCAAATGGAACTCGATTTTCTTGATGCTTTGGAATACGACCTACAAGTCTCGGATGATGAACTGCTGGAGCACTCACTTCCAATTGTCGAGATCCTCTCCTCCCTCCGAACACTGTGGTATTGTCCAAACCACAGCCCTTCACGCCCAATGAACACACAGTATTATCCCACACACCACTACGCGGCGTCCAGTGGTAGCTCGCTAACGTTGGTGGAATCAGAGGGTAGCAGCTCCGTTGGCAAAACTCTTGCCACATTTCGGCAGAGGGGCTTGTGTGCTTTGCGGAGCTGGTTGCGACGCACTCTTGCTTTTGAAGATTAGGCGGGTCGATTTTGATGATCGTGAGGGGTAAATAACCCTACCCTCGTCACTAGTGGAAGCTTCCGACGTAATTATCCCGTGTTGATACACATTTCTTTGACGTTACATTTACTATGCCTGTCTATTATGTAGTTAGCACTTGAATTTAAGTTGCCTGTATATATTTGATCGTGATTCTGTTACTTGCAGTCCCCGTCGCCCTACTCTTCAGTGAGTTGCTTCCGTTGCAGTACCCCTAGGACAGCCACCGATGCCATTCGACACTTGCCGAGTTAGGGGGTGTACTTCGGATTACTACGCCGTCAAGTTCCCCTCGAGCATTTCGAATTACCCCCTCAAACTTCCCCTTTACTATGTCTATAAAATGGGTTCCCTCCAGTCTCTTCGTCTCCCACTGTATCCTGATCTTCGACCACAATGGCCAACACTATCAACCTGAAGTACTTGACCAATCTCACTCATGACATCGAAAGCCGTCTACACGGTATGTCCCCATCCAGTCACCTAATGATTCTAATGATCTCATTCTCATCATTTTTTCACAGACTACGTTGTAGATTGCATAGTCAATGCGGTAGAATTCTCAAGGGGAAATCTATTCCCTCGTCGCTGCTGCCCCCCCTCGCAACTACCAGAGTACTCACTCCTCAGACAGTTTGCGGTGAGGATGATAAAGAAATCCGGTGTCTCTGTCTATGGGATCGCAGTTGCCCTGGTCTATATCGACCGCCTGAAGCGGGAGGAACTACTTGCAAACTATAAGGAAGCAGTTTATGAACGCTTGTTCATAGGAACTCTCGTCTTAGCCTTGAGAGTACGTCTTCTCAACTTTTACATATCTGCTAGAATTGAACGATATTTTCCTCTCACAGCACCTGGGTCATGGTGATTCGACGGCGAGTCACGATTGGGCAAGGATGAGCATGTTGTTCAACAGAGCGGAAGTTGAAGAGTTGGAGCCGCAGTTTATCGTTGCATTGGATCACAGACTGGATGTTGCGGGCTATGAGCTCCTCCCACATCAACTAGTGATTTCCCAGATCGCCAGCTCTCTGACCACCCCCAGAATATGTCCCCTCCATGACAATTCGCGCCCGATGAAAGCCAACTTCTGGCTACCTGATCACTACTACACGAAGAGTTCGCGCACATTACCGGTGCTGCAAGGGTATCCCGACGTCGATAAACCTCTCCCCAAGACTCCATGCCGAAATTACCTCCGCTCTTTGTTCTCGCTTGGCAGCGGTAGCTCTTTTAATTACGCCCACTGCATACCCTTGCCTGCTCACTGAATCCTACCCTCGCCATCACATCCTCGTTGCCTGAACCATGGTTAGTGGAAGCTGCCAATGGAAGAGCCTAGTGTTGGCACGATCTGCTATGTCTATCCTTCATGTACCTCTGTTGACACTAGCTAACAGACGTGTATAGCAAGTGTAATTAGCTTAGGAAATAAAGTCGTGATTCCATTAGCAGAGCGTGACGAGCAATTTATACTAACATTTCACGAATCGCTGTAGTGATACGCACTTGTGGTCCTAATTTGGTCACAACCCTATCGAGCAGCATCTCGCTACATGTGGGTGGCAGCATTTGGATGTCGGCTGGGCTTCACATGCACCAGTGAGATTATTCTTTTCAGCGCGCTCAAGGGTGAAGTTACACGGTTGTGCAACGACGATGCCAGCCAGTGGCACTATAGTCGTTCCGGTACTATTACTGGATAAGAGTGTTGAGTATACGACCATATCACCAAATGCAACTGCTCAGGACCTCATTGATGCACTTACTCGATTGGATGCAGTGAAGGCGACCGGTTTGCCCGACCTTTCGTCGTCGGCGTGCGCTCTCCAACTAATACGAAGAGAGAAGGCTGGCCGCCGGTGGGAGCAAACGGAGCTGGATGCTTTAGAGACAGGTACTTAGCCACTCAGTACTCCGGTCTCATCCCAGTATTAATCGCAGAGTGCAGGGCTTATACCTTCCATTGCTCCCATCCACTCGCTAGTACCTCTGCTGGAGGATAACGTAACTCATTGTCTGAGGTCCCAGAACGACCCTGTTTGCCGCTTGGTCTCATTGCATCCCTCATTATCACTCGAACTCGTATTCTCTCGCATCCCCGAGGTATACGATGGATTCAAGTGGACTGTCTTTATCGGGACCACCACAACTGTCGAAGATGTGATAAACGTTATCGTGGAAGAATTTGGTCTAATCAGACGGATGCCCGGGTCAAAGAGAGGGGAGAAGATTAATTATGTGTTAGAACAGTCATTCAGAGGTTCAGAGGGTAAGTTCTTCTCTGTCTGGGGAGCTGAGCATCAGGATCTGAGCTTCCGACGCAGTCACTCCCCTTGCATCCTCTGCTCGGATAACCGAAATACTGCAGAGAGCGACGCAAACTTCGACTGGGGATGTGCCCACGTATCATTTCTGTATTCCAGAAGAATGGTTCTTTGGGTCAAAACCTTGCTCTTCGTCTGTCCAATCCCTTTCCGCGGACACTAACTCAGGGCAAACGGACCTTGCTACTCGGACAGATGACGAGAGTACCGCGAAGCAACAGAAGCCTAGTGCCGATGTGCCCTCCAGAGTCGGATCGCCAGAATGGAGGAGCTCGATATCGCAAAATCTCCTCATGAGCTACCTACCGAGCTGGTCCCAACCTGCTCCTGCCACTACTTCCGTTCTCGTTGCATCCGCCAACAGGAAAAGCATCAGCGAGCCTGTCTTAATGGAACAAAGTACTGGCGGGAGCTTCTATACGCCCTCAGTGACGATTAGTAATCACGGAGAAGAATGGAGCGACACCGATGCGGCTGAATTAGAACGCTGTCTGGTACGATTTCCCAGTTATGAGGACCATTTTCTCCCAATTTCACTGCCATTTCTAGGGTGAATTGGGATTGCAAAAGGATGCTAGAGCGAATATTTACCGACAATCTCCAGAGAAAAAGCGAAGGATTATGCAAGACTTACTGCATTCACGAAATGAGAAGGACTCTAGTTCACCTCCTGCTGCTTCGAACAACTCCTTATTGCTGCCTCCTCCTATACCTCGGCTCTTCGGAGATAACAGTTTTTTTGGGAGGCACTCCGCTTTCCCGACATGGGGATCAGAAACCGCGTCGACACTACAATCATCAAATAATGACAAGGAGTCCAACAGCTTGTTCGAGCGCAGTGACTCGCAGAAGTCGTCTCTGTCGAACTCTGTACAACCTCAAACAACCGGGAGTTTTTTCAGTGCTTTATGGGCTAAATTGTCAGGAGAGCCCATCACCAGAACGGACAGCGGTATTTCGGCACGAACATATGTCGATGCGTTACGAAAGACTCGCAGTTCAAGTGAAAAGCTTGTAAACTCACTCATTTCCCTGCGAGTGCATCTGTCTACGGCTAGGGTCGAGTGGATCGAAAATTTCGTGGCAGAGGAAGGAATCATCATCATCGGCGGTCTGCTTTCCTCCCTAACTGGGAAAAGAAGTATAACGAGATTCTTGACCGACACGGAGGGTATGGTGTTGTTAGAGTTGATCCGTTGCCTTAGGGTACTCTTGAATACTCAGGTATGCTTATAAAGGGTTGATCTTCCTGAGGCCTCACCCCTACATCAGCCAGGCTTCGACAACATTCTTTTATCTCCAACCATCATATATCACCTGGTTTATTTCATTTTCCATGGAGCACCTTTGAAGTCGTGCACTCTAGCTGCGGAAATGCTTGCTGCAATATGTATGGTTTCTTTCGATGAAGGCTACAGGTCTGTACTCGCTGCCTTCTCAGAATATCGCATTGCGCACAACGAGGTTTTCCGGTTTCACTCGCTAGTCGCAACACTGAAGCTCCCAGGCTCGTTGTCTATGGAACAGAATGCGAGCATAACAGTATCGACTGAAGAGGAAGGGATGTGGGAGACTCGTATAGCGACCTTGGCGCTTATTAATGCTATCAGTATTTGCCCCCATTCCCTGGAGGAGAGGATCGTACTCCGTGATGAACTCAGCCGGCGGGGCTTGGACGAGGTGATGCTGGTATGTTTCCACTGTGGATCTTGCGTGAAGACGGGCCCTGAAACACCGTCGTACAGAATCTCAGGCACGCAAACCCTCCGGACAGTTTTCTTACACAATTGAATGTGTACTCGGAAGAGAAATTCGATGACGACGAGGAATTTCGTGACAGAGCGCGGAGACTTGTGCAAGCCGGTGGCGGGTGTTCCGAGAAACCCGAACACGTCCTTCTAGAAAGCATTCTTAAGGCCGCGCGCTCCTTGGGGTCAACGCAGAGCGTTTGTAATATTTTGCGAAAGCTGGATCAAGTGATGCAAGAGAACATAGATCCGTTAGTTCATACGCTGTTGTGCATTGGCAGAGTGCTTGACATCTTCTCAGTACCTTCAAGCTTGATATGCTCTCCATTTTGGATGATTTGGTAGGATATTTGGGGGCGGCTGACAACACGTACGTTTCTGGCATTTTTCTTTGATATCATACCTGGTTGAGCCGACATAATCTAGTGAAGATGCATGGGCTACTTTCGCCGAGCACGTATTGGCGTCTATCCGGAAGATCACCGGACGTGATGTGCTGACTCGGTATACGGAGGACATTCGGGTGTTGCGTGATAGAGTGGAGGACCTCACGCGCCAGGTGCGGAATCGCGATTCACCAAGTGTATGGCTGTCCTGATATATAGCAGAATGCTGCTCTCCGAAGCGAACGTCTTCGCACCGATGAAGATGTCTCCGTCAGTCGTGCAACAGGCCAATCATCTTCAAAGCCGACTTCACCGGCAAAAGTGAGCAACGAGGTAATTTTAGTGTATCCACACAGCTTATTGCGTTCGACTGAGCGATCACAGAGAATAGCTGGAATCGTCCAGCGTCTCTCTCAGAAGGAGAAAGAAATTACACGACTTGTGGGCGAAATCGAGCGCCTCAAAAAACAGACCGTCCACCGTGAAGTGAGTGCAGCGAAATTGAAGGAATTTCCTCTCAAGCAACTCAGAGACAGGATGACAGGGCCAAGGGAGAGAGTGACAAGGCTGGAATTAGCTCACTCGACGCAGAAGCTGAGAAGCTTAAGCTCAAAGTGAGTCCATGCATCACTATGCCTTCCCGCTTCTCACCGTGGGTATCACGCAGGTTAACCAGCTGGAAAGCTCTCTTTCTGAGAGTGCCAGAGAGGTAACGAGTATGAAGGGCGCTCTTGAATCCGTGTACTTCCGTCTCTTTCCGGCGCGAGGTAATGAATCTGGTGGAGCGGATGTTCAATCCATAGCAGATCGCATCCTAGAGAGGTTTGACAAACAGAGCACTGAAATGTCAGCGTTGCTGGCGCAAGTTTCTAAGCTCCAGTCAACACTGTCAGAAAAATCTGCTCTCGTAACCGAACTAGAGCTCAAAGTTCGCACCTCCTCTCTCCCAGCCGTTTCTGGAAGAGCAACGCCATTGCAGAGCAAGATCGACCGCAATGAGGAAGCTTCTGCATTACCATCACCAGTGGCTCTTTCTCAAGGGACGGTTTCACCACCACCACCACCACTACCTCTCCTTGCGCTCTCTGCTGCGCCGCTCGTTGCCTCTGGAAACGAGGGTGTCAATCCTGGCTTTAAGAGCATACAGGCGGGACAAGCTCTAGAAAACAAGGATCCGCTTGCATCACAATCCTTGCACATTCCTTCCCCACCGCCGCCACCACCACCTGGTCTCGCTAGTGACACTGTTCTGTCTCCTCCTCTTCCACCACCACCACCACCACCACCACCACCACCCCCTCCGCCGCCACCGCCTCCGGGCGAACCCCCCAAAATACGCCGGACGAAGGCGAATCCTTACGCGCCGCGCCTGAAACCATTTTTTTGGAATAAACTGGATAATGATGCCACCAGCTCCACGGTATGGGCTGAGGCCCCGCCAGACTTGCAGTTCAACATGGATGATCTTGCAGCTACCTTCAGCATGGGCGTTGTCTCTACACCATCCCAAATAACCAGCCCTTCGCGAAAGCAGAACGTCACCTCCCTTTTGGATATCACCAGAGCGAACAACGTTGGTGGGTACGGTCTGGGGACACTGTAACCCTGCGCTCACCTGCTGCTACATCGTAGCCATTATGCTTTCCCGATTTAGGAAGGGCTACTCGGTAATCCGTCATACGCTTCTGGACCTTGATAGCTCCCAACTATCCATAGACGATTTGAAGGTAATCAGCAAGCAGTTACCTACTCCCGATGAGGTGGGGCACCATATCACAATCAGTATGGTAAAATGCTAAGTCGTTTCTAGATCACTCGTATCAAGGAATTCGGGGACGTTAGTAGGCTAGCCAAAGCAGATCAATACTTCAGCGAGGTTCTTCCGTTCCATCTCCTGTCAACTGTGGGTAACTGAACCGAGCGTAGATTATGACGATACCGAGACTTCCGCAAAGGCTGGAGTGCATGATGTTCCGCCTGCGCTTCGAGCTAGACGTCAATGAGATTCGCCCGGAACTAAAAACGGTTCATGATGCATGTGGGGAATTGCGTTCTTCTGAACGGTTCAAGGCAACGTTGCAGGTCTGCTTCACCTTCCCGTTGGGCCGCGACTTCTCCCTAACGATCGTACAGGCGATTCTCGCTGTCGGAAATGCCTTGAATGGATCCACCTTTCATGGCGGTGCCCGCGGTTTCCGTCTAGAGACCTTACTCAAGGTGATGCAGACGAAACATCCTTTGGCCACACCCTGACAGCGATACATATAGATGAAGGAAACAAAAACGACGAAGAGTGGTCCAAATTGCCCTACGCTCTTGCACTATATGGCCCGGGTACTGATCCGCACAGACCCCAAACTGACACTATTTATTGAGGAGCTTCCCAGTGTGCAGGCTGCTGCTCGCGGTAAGTCTCTTATTGCCGTCGAAACGCCTCAAATTCATCATTTTTCCCAGTGTCGTTCCAATTTGTTACCCAATCCGTCCACTCAGTCGTACAATCATACAGAAAAGCACAGGAAGAGGTGTTGTTCGTCAAAAAGCTATCGAATGCACTGCCCAACGATAAACTCGTTGAGGTTATGGAGGTTAAGGATGTGTTATCTTCACAAAGCGGTCACTATCGCTGACATCACACAGCCATTTCTTTCAGAGATATCCGAGCGCGTAAAAGCACTGGAGCAACTGTCTGACACAGTTGCAAATAGCTTGCGCTCTTTATATGCCTATTACGGGGAGCCCTACGATACCGCAGAGAGCTTGAAACCAGAGGATTTCTTTAGTACAATTTGTTCCTTCTCTTTGTCATTGCAGGTGAGTATCAATTTCGGATACAGTATCGTATCTGCTGATATACCATTCCTTAGAAAGCCGCAATCGACGTACATGATTCTGTCACTAAACCACCGATTTCCGCCTTGCCGTCAGTTTCACTAGCTGCTGCCCAAGAAGCGAAAGACAAGGTACCTAGTTTTTCGAATTTCAGGCGCAGCTTAGCCCTCACGTCATTCCAGAAGCCCTCGCCGTCGGAGGTCGTACAGAAGTTGCCTTGCGGGGTGGTGCAGAATGCCCAAAGAACTATTGCCCGTGGTGAAGTGGACGAGATAATTAGGACTTTGAGGGAGGGCACGTTCAATAAGCGTGCAAGGAATAGTCTTCCCCAGGCGAACATGATTTTTGTCGATGGCAGGAAGAATGGGTAATATTGTGTAGTTGGTGGGTTCGTGCATTCGTATGAACCGTGTTTTCCTTACAACACAGTTCAAATCCATGCCACTAGCAGAGAGGGAGTACAATACCGGGCAACTTGCTTTCCAGGTGTGCATCTATTCAGGTCTGACGACATCAGTATTGCTAGGGACGTGTGGTCAGCTCCTTGTACGTATCATCGAGCCGTATATAATTCGAATAGTGGGAATCAATGTGAACACAAGTAGCTAAATGAGGAAGACTCGCGCTGTCAGTGCCTACGCAGATTGGGGCGTGGATACGAGAGTACTATACGTGGTATCCCCCGGAAGTTCATGTTGAGGTTACTCGAGTGTTGGATTCGAAGAGCCTCAGCATGAACTCCATGATACTGTGGTGGTGGAACAAATGATTCACTGCGGAAACGAAAAACTGTGCAGATGAAAGGCGAATCTGATTGGCTGGGAAATTCTGACCTGTAGCTACCAGACGACATATTCAGATGTAATTCGGACCTTAGGGTTTCTCAAGCGTTGACCAAACATAGGCAGACAATAAGCAGACCCTGCTTTGTAATGTCTCCCATAATCTGATGATAGGCCGACTTTGCCTATGGTGTATATTCCAACCTCCTCCATGCTTGGCTTCTCCACAAAGGCTAATGTCTGCTTTCTGTTTTATGCCCAAAGCAGAGTTCAGCCTTTTAACCTAGGTACATTGCTGCTTTTTTCTGTTTTTCTCTCTAAGTCCGTAACTGTTATGCCCAAGTGCGGTGACTTCTTCAAATGGAATAGGCACAAAGTGCGTGAGGTAGGAGACTACAGGCCAAACTTGTCGTAACCCCTATGGCTGAGTTATCGCAATGATCTGACAGAGGTTCTGTCTACTGGCAACTCCCTAAGGTTGTTCATGCAGAGAGAGAACAAGGATTAAAGCGAAGGGATGAAGCTCAGTTGCAAGCTATCGAAAAACTGCAGATACAGGACGAAGTATGTAGGATTATATACCCCTGAGTACGAGCACTGTAGTGGTTGCAAACAACGTGTCGTGACGCATATCTGCAGTAGTCAACAATCCCATCAATCAAATAAGTAAGAGTCATACAGTATCAAAGATGGGGGTAGGGAAGCGATGAAGGCTATACCAGCCAGCGCAATCAATGTGCAGTGAGGAGCCTGACACTGGAACTATAGTACAACATGTGAGCAACATAACCGAGTCAGAAACAAGTCACAAAGGTAAGAAAAGAACAAGTTGTCCATCAGAGAGGGCAGTGGAATACTGGATTACAGGGGCCGTGCAGTCTCGACAGGTATTGGAAACATCGTGACAGCAGAAGACCCAAGCATCCCTTGGAGCATTTGAGCCCCCAAGATGGCGATGACTACAAGCAACGTGACGAGGCACGTGACACACATGACTGCAAGGAGCCAAAAAAGGAAGGACCCCTGGCAGAAGCGTAACATCACCCCCCCTCTAAGGTCCTCAGACCCTTGAGGATGGGCCAGAAGTCACATTGGCAGGGTGAATGGTGTGAGTCAAAGTGAGGTTCAGTGGTGAAAACCAACCAAAACCAACACAAAAGACAATGAAAGCGAGTGGTGGTGTGCCTATGCAGTACCTAGATGGTAGAACCTGTTCTTTGGGAGGGTTTTTGCGAGCCACAACACTCAAAGATGAGTGCTGAGGGTTGGGGGTGCTCCTGATGAAGAGGGAGCAAGAATGTGATAGAAAGTAATAGGGTAGACTGCTGTCAGCCTACAGAAGGATGGATGGTGACTTAATTCGATGTCCTAAGCTGTACTGAGCTCAGGGAGGGCTTGGAGCGAAGTATATGGATGATAGATGATGATAAGCAAAGTAGATGATAGCTAGACCCTTAATAAAGTCTCAACTATCAAAGCTGATGAATGATTTACTGAGAGATGATAAATTGCAAGCAAGAGGGGCTCTCTGATGTCTTCTTCTTTTTTTTTTGCTACCTAAGTACAGTGACTTATATACAGTACAGGGGCATTGCCTATGGAAAACAAGGTGCAAACACTTGGTAAGTGATTGGTAACTGATGAGTAAGGAATGTAAGTGATGGGTAATCATCTTGGAAAGCATTGGTAAGCATTGGTAAGGATAAGTAAGCCAAAAAGCAAAGAATCAGTAAGCAAAGTCAAAAGATTGGTAAGTATTTGCAATAGGTGAGTCAAAGACAGTCAGAATGTCACAGTATGAGTCAAGCAATGTCAGGAACTGGGAAAGTGCACTGGAATCACATTAGGGGGAGGCCATGCATGTCACATCTCGAAGAGATCACTTCTAGGCCAAAGTGGGATGACAGAGAGGCAGTGCTGATCTGATGCCGATATAGTACATCCAAAAGCGGACAGGGTGAGTCAGATGTCAACAGGGGTCAAGCTTTGGGGGTCTGTGGGGTGACAGGAGCATAGGGGATTGCAACTTTCCCCCCCAAACCATCCTCTCAGTGAAGCAAATAAAAACTTCATGAATAAGGCTCTGTTGGAAGAGAGGATGAAGGGGGAGCGTCTTCTGCTGTATCTTGCAACAAGGAGGCAAGATGTGCATCATACTCGTCATGGATGTGATCAGGGAGAGTGGAGAACAGTAGATTATACTGTAGCTGTTGCAATTTTGGAAGAACGACGGATGAGACCAGTATAAAGACATTGCAGGGGGCAGGGAGGAAGGATCCATATGCTTCTTGGACTGGAGAGACTGAAATGACCACATAGGACCTTTCCAAGTGAATGACAGACCTGAGGCGACCAAAGAACGTCCTCCTGGAGGTCATACTGACAAAAAGAACATGCTGTCCAAGCTGGATGGGCTGAGAGGGGGCAGATGAGGGTGGGATGTACCAGGACGCTGTCACACACCAAAGGTGTTTGGTGAGGTGGACATGGATGTAGCTGATGAATGGAGGTGAAGACCATAGCCCTCATGCAAAGAAGGACAGCCAGCAATGTTGGCAGTCATCCCTTGCACAAGAACAGGTTGTCAGTGCCAAAGAAAAAGGAGGAGGTGAGTTAAGCGCCAATAAAATTCTTAAGCGCCCATGTACGGCATTCCGGTTTTCGACATATCTCCACCAGTTCTGCAGACACAGAAACCATTCCCACACTCGCTTGTAGTGCTCAGCCATGCAATCCTACCTTCCAAGATTGGAAAGGATTTGTGCACTCCACATGTTTCTACAGCACTCCCTCCAAAAGACGCTCATTTTGCTAGTTCTTCTGATATGGCTGCCTCCACATCAGTCATTTCGCTTGTCCCCTTTGCTAGGGACCATGGCTACATATATCTACCAGGAGTTCCTACCAGCTTCCGTCCTGAAGCGTCCTGGTACATCCCACCCTCATCTGCCCCCTCTCAGCCCATCCAGCTTGGACAGCATGTTCTTTTTGTCAGTATGACCTCCAGGAGGACGTTCTTTGGTCACCTCAGGTCTGTCATTCGCTTGGAAAGGTCTTATGTGGTTGTTTCAGTTTCTCCGGTCCAAGAGGCATATGGATCCTTCCTCCCTGCCCCCTGCGACGTCTTCATACCAGTCTTGTCCATCATTCTTCCAAAATTGCGACAGCTACAGTATAATCTACTGTTCTCCACTCTCCCTGATCACATCCATGACGAGTATGATGCACATCTTGCCTCCTTGTTGCAAGATACAGCAGAAGACGCTCCCCCTTCATCCTCTCTTCCAACAGAGCCTCATTCATGAAGTTTTTATTTGCTTCACTGAGAGGATGGTTTGGGGGGGAAAGTTGCAATCCCCTATGCTCCTGTCACCCCACAGACCCCCAAAGCTTGACCCCTGTTGACATCTGACTCACCCTGTCCGCTTTTGGATGTACTATATCGGCATCAGATCAGCACTGCCTCTCTGTCATCCCACTTTGGCCTAGAAGTGATCTCTTCGAGATGTGACATGCACGGCCTCCCCCTAATGTGATTCCAGTGCACTTTCCCAGTTCCTGACATTACTTGACTCATACTGTGACATTCTGACTGTCTTTGACTCACCTATTGCAAATACTTACCAATCTTTTGACTTTGCTTACTGATTCTTTGCTTTTTGGCTTACTTATCCTTACCAATGCTTACCAATGCTTTCCAAGATGATTACCCATCACTTACATTCCTTACTCATCAGTTACCAATCGCTTACCAAGTGTTTGCACCTTGTTTTCCATAGGCAATGCCCCTGTACTGTATATAAGTCACTGTACTTAGGTAGCAAAAAAAAAAAAGACATCAGAGAGCCCCTCTTGATCACAATTTATCATCTCTCAGAAAATCATTCATCAGCTTTGATAGTTGAGACTTTATTAAGGGTCTAGCTATCATCTACTTTGCTTATCATCATCTATCATCCATATACTTCGCTCCAAGCCCTCCCTGAGCTCAGTACAGCTTAGGACATCGAATTAAGTCACCATCCATCCTTCTGTAGGCTGACAGCAGTCTACTCTATCGCTTTCTATCACATTCTTGCTCCCTCTTCGTCAGGAGCACCCCCAACCCTCAGCACTCATCTTTGAGTGTTGTGGCTCGCAAAAACCCTCCCAAAGAACAGGTTCTACCATCTAGGTACCGCATAGGCACACCACCACTCGCTTTCGTTGTCTTTTGTGTTGGTTTTGGTTGGTTTTCACCACTAAACCTCACTTTGACTCACAACGCTTCAGGACAGAAGCTGGTAGGAACTCCTGGTAGATATATGTAGCCATGGTCCCTAGCAAAGGGGACAAGCGAAATGACTGATGTGGAGGCAGCCATATCAGAAGAATTAGTGAAATGAGTGTCTTTTGGAGGGAGTGCTGTAGAAACGTGTGGAGTGTGCAAATCCTTTCCAATCCTGGAAGGTAGGATCGCATGGCTGAGCACTACAAGCAAGTGTGGGAATGGTTTTGGTGTCTGCAGAATTGGTGGAGATATGTCGAAAACCAGAATGCCGTACACAGATGCTTAAGAATTTTATTGGCGCTTAACCTGCCTCCTCCTTTTTCTTTGGCATTGACAACCTGTTCTTGTGCGAGGGATGACTGCCAACATTGCTGGCTGTCCTTCTTTGCATGAGGGCTATGGTCTTCACCTCCATTCATCAGCTACATCCATGTCCACCTCACCAAACACCTTTGGTGTGTGACAATGGATAAGGGTCAGCAAGTAGTATAAACCCAGGAACGTGTATGAGTGGCGACTGGCGATGAAGGCGATGGAGATGGCAGTTCCTCGAGGGCTGGAGTATAGCG